CATTGAAAATGTAGAAATATCATAGATAGGATCACTGATGTTATACCTAAGTACTATTTAATTTATGTTTAGTAAGTAAAAAACAAATCTAAAATAAAAAGAAAATTGCCATATTCTAAAATTTTCTTAATGCAAGCATAAATATCTTAATGCAAGTGTAATACTAATGACTTGCATAAAACCTTTATAAAATACAGTAATAATACTTGAGATACAACTACAACGTAAAAAACAAACTATCGCAAGACTGTTTACTTAGTATTTATGAGTTAATATTTGAAAACTTCAGTTATGAAATAAACCCCACTCCACACCTTGGACAATTATTGCCTCCCATTATTTGTTTTTTTAAGAAGGTTCAAAGAGCAGGTGACTGAATCAAATGATTGGATGAAGCTCTACTTATGCTGTTTATCAATTGAATCCATAAGTTCTAAGTAACACAGTTAAAGTGTGTGATATATACACAAACATTCAATGTGTGCGTTCATAGATTCACGTAGACCATACAATGACTAGATGTTTTATATTATTTACTGAAACTTGCAAATGACGGTAAAGCACCACACACGGATGTAAAATTTGGTTTAAAATTGATCGTAGAGTCGAGAAGATTGAAATTAGGAAGAAATTAATTAAAAAAGCATGAAGTAAACACAATGGACAATGTAGAATTAGAAGAAATAAGACTGTTCCTTTTAATTTTATAGAGAAATCATATGAAATTAATATGAACAGATAGATGTTTTAATCGTGGGAATATTATAATATGTTGCTAGGTTAAAATAACTGTACTGCAAAAAATGAGCAATCTGAATCCAGGACTTTTTTGTTGATGCAAAGCTTGATAAACAAGGATACAAATTATTCAATATTGAACGACATAAAAATGCAGTTCAATTTTGCGAGGATTTATTTTGATGGATAAATAGCGACCATAGAGACGAAAACAATTCGGAGACTTTTGTGTTTATGCATTTCCTGGAACGAAGTTTCGTCTATAATTTAAGCAATTGGAATAGAATGGACAAAGAGAAATTGATGGATTTTAATTGGTTAAATTGCAATGTGCCATAGGAGATTTTATACCACATAAACATATATTGATGCTTGCACGTTCACCACCCTGGATACTCCCGTTCATTTTGCATCAGACGAGAGATGTGGACAGACTGACAGACATTTACTTTGGTAGAAAAATAAACAATTAGTAATAAGATTTTATATAAGAAATCATGTCGTACAAAGTGAATATTAGCCTTATTCGCGAACTCCTGACGTATGATTGTTACAGGATAGATGAACTTGTTACCTATGGTAAGGACATCAGTTATTTCTAATCATATTTGGTTATTTCTCATCATATTCGGTTATTTCTCAACATACTTGGTTATTTCTCATCATATTTGAATATTTCTCATCATATTTGGTTATTTCTCAACATTCTTGGTTATTTCTCATTTTGGTTATTTATCCTTTATGGTTATTTCTCGTTATTGGTTATTTCACATTTTGATCTTTCAGACTACCTCTTCGTCAAAAGCTTGTGAGAGATCAGCTCTCTTTCGGAGATAGTAGAGGTTTTACGAGTTCATGAGAAATATTAAGTCAGAATCTTTTGAGTTCAAAGTGTTAAGAGTCATCAATTTTGAGGGTTTGTCAAGTACAAGATTTAAAGTTTCAGTCATTTATAACTAGAATTAATGTTATTAGAGTTTGGCATATTATTGGTCTTGTCAAATATTTGATCTCAGAATATTGAATTGAAAAATAAGGTTACCATATTATGCAGTGGGATCATTTAGCTCATCTGGCCATGTCAATTGCTTAAATATGAGCTAACCAAAGTGAGATTTAACATCTCAGTTCTGACCTTTAATAAGAAGTCAAAAAAGTGTTCAGACAAAAGTTGTACATTAGCTAATAAAACCTGTTTAGCAGGTAGATATATGAGTGTTTTATTGTGAACAACTGGAAATACCTGTTGTAGATTATAATGGTATATTCCATTATTATATCTTTCTGCAGAACATATTTGTAAACAACTTGCTCTATGCAAAGATCAGGAAAAAAAACTTTTTAAGCTATGTAATACTTTGTGTACATGTAATTAATTTGAGGTCCACATTCATATTAATTGCTACTAATCACTTTTATTTAGGTGGAAACAATAATGGAGAAAGCACTTTTAAAGTAGATAAAAAAATAACTGTAACTATTTAGGGAAAAAACAGTCTATAATTTTTTGGGGAAAGTATGGGGAAGTCAATTCAAAAAGAAAGAAAAAGTTTGCTATAAGCAGTGATAATAGAGAAACTATAGAGTCTAGGCATAATAATTCATAAGTTAGCAATAAAATAAAAGTTAGCTAAGAAATTCCAGGTGATGAATGATTTAATTTCTTTGCTTCTTTATTACTCTAACTCGACCCTGGATGTGCCTCATGCTTAAAATGTCAATCTGTTCATGGTTAGTTCATGCTATTTCTCTCTAAGATTTGATTAAGCGGTCTCATTCTTGCATTTCTATATCGATGATCATGTTCCCTACTTGTCTGTTTAGTCTGTTTCAGTATAAGTTCATCACATTACTCTCTATTTTGCTTTTTATAACATTATCAATTAACATGACATTTTATCAATCTGAAATTATTGCAGGCTATCATCATAGCATTGTTATGAAAATGTGCAACTGGTTATTTATGGTGAAACTATTTAAAAATATTGTTGAATTTATGGTGTTATCATAGTAGTGCATGCACATATACAGGTTTTTGGTCCCATTGTCTCAGATCTAAATGAAATTTTGGAGTTGATTGTGATCAACCTCTGTTTATTTAAATGGTTGCTATGGCAACTGTTGACAACTGATATACTTATAATTATGTATCAATGTCAACATCTTTACAATATAACAGTAAAACCTAAACTTTGTGTAAACATTCAATTTCATGTATCAGCGTTTAAAAAAGTGTGAACTACTTTATATTGTGAAATCATTTGTGATACTGTGTGAAGAATCATCCATGGCATTATATGTAATTGAACATGTGCCTCAAAATCTGTTCCTAGATGATCCAAAAGCAACAAAAGTTGTAACATTTAATGACTTGCTTTAGTTATTTATAACACGAGCATTGAGAGGGAATCAAATAGTAATATATTTAATATAAATACATGTATATCAAATAATAAACTTTGTGCAAAATAGTAATTTTAAGAATATGGGCTCCTTACTAAAAGGTATAGCAGTGAATACTATGATTCACGCAGACAGCAGATTTCTAGGTTTAAAGAACAAGCAAGAAATGTCCCTCGTGTTTATGGATGTTCACAGAATAATTGCCATGGAGCAGGGGTTCTAACAAAAAATGAGCTAAAGCAGCAAGAGTGTACATTTGAAAATATCTTTCTGATAATCGTTTTGATAGACATTTTATAATAGGCTCATCACAAAGAGTAATGCCTACATTTTTCGTACACAAAACTGGAAATACCATAACAACCATAACTGAAACTGTTTTTCGTGATTTATCAAATTCCCAGGGTATAATAAGAGTGCATGTACTATATTTCCGCTAAGTTTGATGACATGACTTCAAATGTTTTCTGATGTGGAGAGTCACTTGTGATCAATTTATCGATTTATTGATCACCCGTTTCTTACATGTACACAATTAGTTCATGTTAAAGTCCTTACTTTTATTTGAATGCCTGTATATATATATATATATATTGTAAAATCTGTCTTAGTGAACACCCTTCCTCCATACATACTCTACTGACTTCTGTAGAAATTACCCTCCCTTAAGCTCAGTCTGATTGGAAAAATAGTGATTTGTGTTTGGGGAAGGGGGAGGCGGGGGGGGGGGCTTATGAGAGGACTAGAGATTTTACTTAGATGATCTACTTTTTGAGGAAATTAATTTTGAGTTCAAAAAAATTATCTCAGATATATTGTTAATTAGTACAAATTGACAAAGTTTAGAGCAGTATGACATTTGCCGGTGTTTCTATCGCATATCACCATGACCTTGCATGCAACATCAATTTATCATAATAAAAACATTTAACAATAATAGTATCCAAGGCAGGGTCAGATATAGGGTGCAACCTTCCCCAAAAATTGTTTCAGTTTTAGAATATTTTAGGCTTTTACCAATATTTTTTCGTGTCTTTTTCAAATAAAATTACTCACTATTAATGTTGAAATCACATTTTTATATTTTATATCTGAAATACTTGTAACTTTTCTACTTGTAACCATTATTTGTTTAGTTATCACAGATATTTTGGGAAATACTATCTTTGAGGTGTTAACTGACAATTGATTAGTGGGTCACTTGTGCAAGTTGTTTTTGAAAATGTCACTCCTTTGCCTTCTTAGTAATTAATTTTATAGATAAATTGTGTTTTGTTTACTTCACAATGGAAATCTTAAGTTCACATGTACCTTGTTAAGACGAATGAAAAACACAAAAGTTATAATATTCTAGCATTCTGATCTTCGAAGACCGTATTGAATAACGCCTAGAAAGGTACCAATAAGTCTCACTCACTTCATGCCTGTTCTTGTGGAGTGCTATAGTAGACAATGTCAGTTTGACATCTCCCCAAAATTTAGAAATATTCAAGTACCAATATCAAAATTGCCTGGAATATTGAAGTATGATGTTAAATAATATATAATGTTGTTAGATCTACAAACCTTTGAATGCTTTTGGTATAGTTATAATTGTATCGAGGCGGATGGATGCATAGCCTTGAAGTACTGTATATTAATGCCGGGATAGTTCAGAAATTCTTCAGAGACAAACATGAGCTTTATTTTCAACGAAAGGATCTATAAAGGCATTTATAATTTACCTAGTTTCGTTTTAAAACTCATCACTTGATATAAAACTTAGATTTCGCTTTTGCTTATATATAGCTCAAGCAGTATACCAACAATGAACTCTTTATTTGAAGCGCTAAATTCACTTGTTTTTCTTGTATTTCCAGTCTTATGTGCGGACCGTATGAGCCAGATGACAAAGGCGTTTCACGATATAGAGGCTGTTACACGTCTTCTAGAAGAGGTCAGTTTTTCTTCAATTTTCAGTTTCTTTTAAAAATTATCATAATGCAATGCTTCAATAATTTTTTCATGCACATTTATTAAACCTTATTAATTTAGATATATTTCATAATAATTATTAAACCTTATTAATTTAGATATATTTCCATAATTCCCCTGTCTGATATTTTTATTGTTCTTATTTCTCGCATAATATAAAAAAAGATTAAAATACGTTCATAACATTTTTTTTTGATTGGTGATTGCAGAAAGAACGAGACCTCGAATTAGCTGCTAGGATTGGTCAGAATTTATTGGCAGAAAACAAGTCATTTACAATAAAGAACGAACATTTAGAGGAGCAAATTGCTATAGCGACTGATTTGGTGAGTTCCTTTTTTAACGAGAAAAACTGGTAGGGAAAACTGAAAGTAACTGACCCCAAAGTCACTACATATGTTTCCATGGTATAGTTACAAGAATAATGTGATATATGTATTTTGTGATTATTTGTTCCCAGGTGAACCAGTTGAAACATGAGGTGTGTATGAAGGATGACCTGCTCCGTATCTACACCGACGACGGAGATGACTCCACACGAAGCTCTCCATCGTAAGTTAGAAAACTATAAAAAAAAATTTAAATTCTGTATTGTGTCAGTGTATTTATTATCGTTGTTTTGAGTTATTTGAAAGAACTAAAAAAATGTTTTTAAAGTGGGCAATCAATAAGTGTGAGAACAGACATTACTGTCGAGCTTAAACTTTTAAGAGGTAAAAAACCATAATGTAGGCTAGATGTGGGGTTTGATTATCATAATAAAATTTACAGCCTTGATATCTTTCTAATATACATTGTATATTTACTCTTCCAGGAGAGAGAGAGTTCCATTTGGCCTGGGCCATGTGAACTTTGATCACCTTCACAATAAGGTTAAAGAACTTGAGGATGAGAACCTTACATTGAGAGTAGAGGTAAATATGCCTTTGAAATAATGGCTTCAATAATAGAACAATAAGATAGACAAAAACATGATTTTTTCACACTTTATTTATAATTTGCTCCATCTAATATTGAAATCACAATGATTCCAACAGTAAATAGCATCACAAACTTTAGTTAGGGCCTTTAAACATTCGTTTTATTTTAGTATTCCATCAATATATACAATAATAGTGACAGCATTTGGGAACATTGCTGGCAGTGAAAATCAATGAAATGTCCCTGTCTAAGTCAGAAAGTAGGATGCTCCACTTTTTGAAGCAATATTTGAATGTATATGTACTAATGATTAATTAAATGGATATTCGGAGATAGCTGATGAAAATTATGATATTTTTGCTCAAAGTCATTTCATTGTTACTGGATCAATACATGTATTTGAAACAAACTGCCAACTGTGATGTTTTTCTTGATTTTGAATTTGTTATATATATATTTTTTCAGTCTGCCAATTTGAAGACAGACTGTGTAGACTTTGAAGCTCAAGAAAAACGTCTAGTCAATGATGTGTGCAAACAGTTATGTGAGTATATGCACGCAGTATGAAAGCAACCTGTATTATTCTAAAAATGGAAAAATTTATAATCAAATATATTGTTTATCGATGTACGAAAAACTACATATTTGAATCATAAAACAACAAGTTAAAAGATTGACCAATGCATTAAATTTAATAATTAAAATATAAACAGAATTTTATTATTGTTCATTCAATTTACAGGGTGGTCCAAAAAAAATTGGAACATTTGATAATTGAACTCAAAATCGTTATTTTTTCTCTAAAATGCACCAAAATTTTACTGAGTATTGTTCAATCACTTATTTATCTGATGTAAAGTTTATAGGTGCAAACAACAAAGTTAATGCATTAAACTAGAGAATATTTGATATGACCCCTTTTCTCCTGAATTACAAGTTGAAGCCTGGGACTCAGTTTTGAAATGATTCATTTACTTTGCTGTTCGTTTGATTTTCTCCAAGCCATTTTGATTAAAAATTCAGCTTGAACAAACTACTTATATATTTGCCTTGGAAGATCAAATATATGAACATATTCAACATTTTTTACCCAAATTGATGGGTATCAAGCATATATTGATGGCTATTTTCGGATATACTACTGATTGAATATTCTCCAGAAAGGGGTCAAGGCAGTCTGTTTTGACTGGTAAATGAACCCCCTCCCCTTTCATGTTCTAATATGAATAATATTCATTGGATATATCAATATATGTATATCAATATCATAAATGAGTTTCCCAGAACACAAATTATATATAATGTGTGCTTAGAGGTGGTCTTTACTAAAGCCTTGTAAATAACTAGTCAGTTTCCCCTCTACTGAAAAATGGAAACAATGATTTTGTCAGTTTAGTAGCTGTATGGGTGATGCAATCCCTCACCTCTGACATGTTCTTTCCTACTCTTAAATAAAAATAATGATTTGGGGTATTCTTAACAATAACACAATAGTTTTCCAGTAAACCATAGATGTTAATACCTCATGTCAACAAAATATGATTTTATAAATGTGTATACCAATCAACATGTTCATTAAAGCTTTGAAATAAAGAATACTTGAAAAAGTAGCTGCGAAATTGACGAGTGTATATTGAAGAAAAGGGGGTCATATCAAACATTGACTAGTTTAATGCATTAACTTTATGGTTTGCACTTATAAACTTTACATCAGAGAGATAAGTGACTGAACTATGCTCAGTGAAATTTTGGTGCATTTTAGAGAAAAAATAAAGGTTTTGTGTTCAATTAACAAATGTTCCAATTTTTTTGGACCACCCTGTATTATCGAATATAATCGTTTAATTAAGTTTTAATTCTATCTAGATATTTCCAAAAAATATACTGTATATCTCGAAAAAAATATTCTCCATATTGTAGATTATTTTTTTCAATTTTTAGCTGAGGCGAACGAGCAGGTTCGCGAGCTTGAGATTGAAATGGGCCAAAAGACAGATGTTAACATCAAACAACAAGAGGAGATCACATCACTCCTTGGACGAATTGTTGACCTTGAAGCTAAGGTCAAAAAGGTCAGATTTAGTTTGTAAAATTAGTGAATCCTTGTTTTTTTTAACTTTTGTATTTGCAAAGCCATGATTTATCCAGTTTTGGTGCATTTACTTTTATCTTTGTAAACTTTGACACAAAATCGCTTTAACTGTCTGTTCACGATGATGTGATGTGTTTTTCAAAACAACTTTTTAAGATGTCATTATTTTATGTTTTATATGATTATTGTGATAGTGTTTAATGATAAATATAAATTGCTGTTACTTCTAATGTTTTTTAATGCATATGTACCCAACCCCTTTGCCTAAACGAAACATTTCTCTTGGCAATCCTATTTGATTTATTTTAAAAAAATGAAGTATCTAATTTTTCCATACAGTTCAGAGTGTTCACTAATGCAAAAAGTGGTTATTCAATAATATCATATCCCATGATGTACAGGTGGGGTACAGGCAAAAATGTTGACTGCTAATTGACCAATCAGATGCGAGTATTTACACTGAAGTACTAACAATTCAGAATGTTCACTTCATGTCTTCATTCTTTTCCAATTTCACTCTTTACTGCTGTATTTTCTTTTTTAAAACATTTTGACATGTGAACTAAGTCATATTTTGCAACTACTTTGACATGAGAACTAAGTCTAGTATTCAACATTTCAAGTGTTATACAATCATTATCCTTGGCCTAAAATAATTTATACTCATTTTTAAAGTCAATTTTCGAAGAGGCTGATTAGTTATATGTAACATTATGATTTGTCATTGTTCAATTTTATTTATCTATTTTGTTTATTTATTTAATTATTGGGTTGATTTGACAAATTGAATAAGGTGTGGGCGTGTACCTGTCATCTTTTGAAAAAGTGAGCCATATTTTAAAATGAGAAAATGAGTAGAAAAGAGTGGAAGTAAGGAATACAGAAAACAGATATATAGTAAACACTCTAAATTGTATAGAAATGCCAAAAAATTATAAACTTCATTCAAATTATCGAGAGGAATACATACTGTGATATATGCATAAGCAGAGAACATTTAGTCATGTGTTTTACAGCAAGCATCCATTAGACACCACTTCAGTGCTATGATTGATTAATTAATCAAAAAGTCGAGATGGTCTCATTGCACTATTATTAACATTCAAAACTTGAAGTGTGTCATAGAGGAATTTATGTACATTCTAGGGCATAGAAAACTACTTCAGTAAATGGGCCATCTTTAGATTAAAGGAAGCATCATCCCCTCATTTCAAAGGAATTTCTTAGGGTGGTGCATATTACTTATTTGAACATGACTGTATTGACGCTTTCTATAAACCGTAAAAAAAGCCAATATTTCAACTGGTATTCATTTGTCGATACAATTTCTGGTCTCTACTAAGTGTTTCATTCAGTGCTATATTTCTACCGGAAGTGGGAATTGGAAATGAAGTGACGATTTTTACAAAATTTTGTTGGGTTTTCATGTTCGAATCGTAAGACCTCCGATCTTAAAAAAGGAATTTCATTTTGCCCTATTTTTTCATTTGTGTAAATAAATACTGTCGTTAGTAATATTCATGCATGTTTGATTGTTCTTGCGTTTTGCATATTAATTATAGAAATTAATTCTTACTATATTATAATCTATGTTATAGGTGTCTGTTGAGAATGGGGAACTACACAGTCACGTGCAGGCTTCACAAGAGGCACAAAAGTCACTGACCAATGAGGTACAGAAAATGTTTTATAATCATGTCTTAAATTAGAAATTATTGAAGAAACGAGGGAAATAATGGAGAAAAAATTGAACAGATATGTAGTTGACACTCTAAATTACCTGTGTATAGAAATAGACACAAAACAGACATGAAATACAGCTAAAATGGAACTTTTCGGATACATATGCAATGAATTAGGTCAATTGTAACATGTTTAAATCAATGGGGTATTAGAGTTCAGGTCCATAGACTGTTTACTTCAAATCAGAAACATATATACCGTAAACATTTTTCAATATGATCAAAACAGGATTTTTCTGAAGTTCAAGTTCAAGCCATGTTTCAATCATTCTCTTAGCACGTGATATAATGGCATATGGCTGATATCTTATTATCAAGTCATCATGATCAACAATGTTCAATAACATTAATACAGGATACGGGATATGAACCTTTGATCAGCCAATAAAAAAATAGTTTATAGTGTTTATATTGTAACCAGGTGTCGGTTCATTTGGTATTAGCTGAAAGTGATGCATCATTTGGTTGCCCAGGGCAGCTAACACAGTGTCTATGAATATTTTCAATTTCATTTCATACCTCGATCACAAAAATAAAAGTGTCGCATAAAAATTGAGATAATTGGTCAAGTAAAAACTGACACTACATGTGTGGATGATTTTGGAACACTTTGTTATGGTTTTTACTCCAATATTGTTTTTAGGATTGTTTTGTGTTTTTTAGCTTATATGGGCGTGCTAATTACAAACTATGCCTGATTTGAAATCAATGTGTTATCTAACACAAGTTTCAAGTGTTGACATCAGCCTATGTTGTATAGTTATTTTAAAAAAATGGCTTACTTTTCTAAAGTTCACCGCAACTTTTAAACATGGCTAACCTTACACATACAGACTTGGCGTACATGACAAACCGCATGATCGCCTATTTGTTATCTAAACTCATCAAATTCATTGACATCGCTACAATGTTATACATATGTATTGTCTAAATACTTCATGTACCTGTCAGGTGCCAGTTAAGATGATGATATAACATTCACTTACATTCATCCAAAATAAAAAGAACATGAATTTTTTCTATTACAAGACATACCCACCACACTTAAGTAATTTTGTCATGTCATGCAAATTCCACGCATTTTCTTCGATGAACTGCATTTTTTCATGCATTTATGCAATTTGGGGTGTTGACTACATGTCTGTTGATTTTATTTGTTGTGATTCCATTCTTCGATTCCCATCTTGGTGAAATAATTTATAATTTTACATTTTCCAATGAAATGATATTATCAAGCTATCTAGGCATTTGACCTTAAAATTTTCAATTCTTCATTTTTATTAGATTCCATTGAAAAATGTCAGATTATAAAAACTGAGTATACTATTCATAGCATCATTTTATTGTCACGGAGTATAATAGGCCACTGTCAGGTTAATACCTATAGTGTAAATATGGATGGAGTATGTTAAGTGCAAAGACCCCAGAAAAGAAAAAGTTGAATTGACCCATGCATTAAGGTTGAAAACTTGATTGCCATGCTGAAGAGGCTGGCAATGACAATCAATTCATTGCCTATTGCACCCATTATTGTTAAAGCCTTTTTGAACCATTGCATTTGACAGTATTTACATGAATTATTTTTATTTTTATTCTATCTGCCAAAATGACTTTATTTCTTTGTTCAAGATATATATTTATTTTTCTTATTTAAAACATTCCAGTTAGCAGACCTGAAAGACAAGTACAATGAAGCCCTTGGTTTATTAGTTGAGGCCAACGATGAGTTGAAGACGCTCAGACGTAAACGGCAGCCACATGCGACACGTCATCATTTCAGTACATTCTCACCATACATCCCTGCCGATTCTCTTGCCTGTGAGTTAGAGAGCGAATTCAAGAAAGATTTGGAGTACCCAGAGGGTTACTCCCCCAATGAGAGAAAGTAAGTTTTCGTCAGAGATACACAGATGTAGCGAGGCATGAGAGGCAATTGCCTCACTAAAACTTTACAGAAAAAATATTAATTCAGATTTTTTCAATTGAAACTGTGAAAATGAAATCCAATTTTAACTTATTATACTGCCTTTAACACATATTTGCCTTGCCTCGTTAAATTTGTCTCACCTATTTTTAGATCTTAGCCTCACATTTTGAGATAACAAGTTACCTAAATTGCCTCCATTTCAAGATTGTTCTTCCTTAAAGTTTGAATGAGTCACTTTATTTTCTGACATATCTAAACAATCGACTGCATATGATTCCACATTTTCTACTTTCTACTCCATTTTTAAAACATGACCTTATGATTAATTTTTGCATGGATATTTTATACTTTAAGGATTTTATTTTGACAGTTAAAATTACTGTCAGTTTTTGAATTAAATTCAACATATTTTCAAACTAGTAAGGGGGTTTTATGATTCTTTGAAAAGTAGTGCCTTTCACGCAAAGAATGCTAACCTTTAAAAGCCCTTTTTAATGCGGACTATTTTCTCTGAAACACATAAATTAAATATGTTAATTAGGCCTCTCTTATGGTTCCAGGCAGCACAGCTGGAAGGTTCTTGAAACTGCCAAGTTTGCCAAAAAAGCAGTGGTTCGTAGAGCTACATCGAGCCGTGGCTCCTTGAGCACATGTAGCTCATTGAACAGCTCATTGCACCTACACGGCGGCCATGATACCTCCAATGACTCAATGTCCAATAGGAGTTCTTGTTACATGTCTGATGGAGAATCATTGTTTAGTGAAGGTTACCATGGTGATACTGATAGCCTTTATGGGTAAGTTTAGAGTAAGGATGGAATGTTGCAATGTATTGTGGGTATTTAGACTGTTTCTATTTGACACATTTTTAAGATAGTGTAGGAGTTGTCTCCGTGTTATGTATGTTCACCAAAAATTAAACACTTCATTAACTTTTGTGTATGAAACACTTTAGTTATCCACATTTCATTAATAATTAATCGTTTCATCTTTCAGCCTATAGTCCTATTCACTTATTTTTTGAAGATTAATAGTGTATTGTTTTCAGTCATCTTCTTTCTCATGTCTTGTATCTTGGAGAAATACTTTCTTTGTTGTATTTATATAATGTAACTCACCATCTTTAAATAAACTGGTCATTTTCTGGGAATGTCAAATCATTGCCCTATTATATACCATCCTGTTGTATTCTGAAGTTTATTAACTTTTTTACGAAAAAATATTTCAGCCCAATTCACGAAGATCTCAGGAGAAAAATACTCACTCGGTAATTAATACGATAACATCATTGTGCTAAGCTGCCCATAATGCCATGGTTGTCATTGTGCTAAGCTACCCATATATTTTTGTCAATGTGTTAAGCACCCCTGTATTCAATCCATCACGTGGTGAACATGTTTTTCATTGAAAATGTGTAGAAAATGAAAAATCAACCTCTTTTCCACATTTTGCGAAATGAAAAATATGATTGCCATAAATATACACCATCATCATCACAAGGCCTTTCCTCAATGTTGTCTTTTATTATAATTTCAGTAAATTTCATTTTCAGTTGTTACGATTTTGTTGAAACCAATATACATGTATCATATTTATATCAGTAATTGATGGTTTAAAAAAGGTTTAAACTATTCTCTGGTATTTTATCCTGCTGCAGATATTTGATTAGGTACTCATTCTACTGGAAACTAATTCCAATTAATTTTTGCATGGTATATACTTGTATTCTTTGAATTGATAATCAAAGTGCAATGTGAATCTTATTTATTGAAAAGGATGTATTTTAAATCTCCATGAACATATGTCATCTTTTTTGTGGCCTGGACTTAAGTTTTGACTAAAGTTTCTGAAAAGCTGTGTGTCTTAAAGGGAAGGGGATTGGAGAATAAATAAAGGCATCTTTCAATGTCATTGAATATCATTGCTGTAGAAAACAGAAACATTTTCTATGCCATTTCTTAATGTTTTTATTAATGTCTTGTGTGTATCTTGTGTGTAATACCTATAAATAATAGATATTATATTGCATGACTTGTTTTGTACTGTTGTGGTATGCTCACAAAAAAAACATCTATTCCTCGACCAATCATTTTATCATAGATTTAAATTTACATGTTGATGTTATTATTTTATCTTAATTAAGATTTTAGATTATATTCTAACTTTATATATATTTATTCATTTATAAGGCATTATTGTTCATTATTTCATTCATTTCTCATCGTTCATTGATGCAAGCATGGCATGATGCTTATTACAGTTCAAGCCCTAGCCTGGGTAGACCAGGGGTTCCTGGCTCCAAAGACTTGACTGAGGCCCTTACTAAACTTAGACTCCAATCGGGAGGGGACACTTGTAGTGAAACAGACACTTGTGATACGGACACATATGTCACTGACGCTTGTGAAACTGAGAGTAATTACTCTGAAAGGTAGATGTTTTATGATAAGTTGGGTTATTGCACCATGTGCACCATCATGAAATGCAGCATGAATGCAGTAATTTGTATATTTCATGTCGGATTACATGGAACACTAACCCATTCCAGTTTTACTCACCACACCCATTTCGTATCACTGTTGTTGCATTTGTGAATTTTTGAATGCTTATGCTATTTTTGATATATTGTATGTTGTAAGATAAAAGTATATATTCTATAACATATAGAAATTTTATTTTTCATTTTGAAACAACACCTCTTGATGCTTTACTTAGTACTAGCATTTTAATGTCTAGTAAGGTCACAAACATTTGGTTATGAGTTAAAAGTAACCATGATACAAGTTATCTTGTTTTGTTTAACATGATGTCATCGGTTACAGATAGCAGTTGTTTGACACTGATGTCAATTATATAAGAATGCTGTCAAGTTTGAGCAAAATCATGTCAGTTAAGTAATGGTGATAAAAGTACATTAACCCTTAGCAGTTGAATAATAGGTATCTTGTCAAATAGAGTAGATGCGAGTAGAAATAATCTTGATTTACGTCATTAAATATTCAAAATTTAGGCAAAGTGATGTCATATTTGAGATCTACATGTAAAAGTACATCTAAAAATATGGTTTCAAAAATTGTTTATCAACTTTGAAAATTTAATTTTTTTGAAAATGTGACTTCTTGTTCGGGTTGATTCCCCATAGACCCCATGTTACGAAATCACAAAAAGTGAAATATCTTTTCTTATATTGGACAGATAACATTTTCTTTTACTGGACATATTTTAATTTGCATAGCTATTAGAAACATAAGGGTTATATGAAAATTGAACCACTAAAACAGATGTAATTTAAGTTAAAGGGAACTTTCTTCTATACCCGCCATGCTATCTGACCCGAACGATCGACCTGGTGGTAAAAGCGGTAACTACCTACTCGCATCTGCATTATTGGCATTATTATAAACACAAGGAGCACACTTGTCTCGAACTCTGGCTGTTTGGCTTACCTTATATGTTCAATTGTTATCTACTTTACCCTATATTTCTTGGTTCAAGGGTGGGTTGTTTTCAATAGTCATACTTCTTTGAAGTTCAGTGGAATAATGAAGTCCCATTTTTTGCCGATTTAATACTCTTAGTGATGTAAACATTTTAATTTTTCTCCAGACTCGAGGGCACCGACGGGACGACAACACCCACCCCATGCCGTACTCCAGAGAGTATGATGTCAACAGGAAGTGGCCTGTCTGGCTTATCTGCAGGTTATGCATACAAAATTCCTGAGAAATTGCAGATCGTAAAGCCTCTAGAAGGTAAAATATTTAGATGGTTTAATATGTATTTAGGCCGTTTGTTTATTAGAGAGAGATATTAGACATTCTTTATTGAAAAGTGATATTTGAGTTCAGGTCAACTGAGATATCAGATGGTAAAAACTTATTTTTTATAATCAGCCCTTTTACTGGGAATAGTCTATGATATCATTTTCCTTTCATATTCCAGCTCAAATGTAATTCAGATTTTTTTTTCTTGAATGTAGGCTCTGCTACATTGCACCAATGGCAGCGTTTGGCGACACCCAACCTTGGGGGTCTCCTGGAAGAACGTCCCGGGGTACAGGTGAAGGGTGAACGTAAGATCGAGTTTGATGAAGAGATGTATGCACTGACAGACTACGAGGAGGATGGTGGGTTTGATGCTTTCAATGAGTGTAGTGGGGAAGCATGCTCACTGTTTGATTCTTTAGCTGATGTGTCTAGAGCCTCTGATTTGTTAGACTTGAAATGTAAGCTATCTCGTCTTTAGTTGTCATTTGTCATGGCAACGAGGGCTTGTTACTTGGAAATGTTGTTTGAAATTGGTTAAAATTTGAGCTTGCATCTAGTCGTTGTACCAGTCCTCCTCGACATTATATCACCTGTGTATATGTGGGAGGGGGGGGGACTGTACAAGAGCCTGGAGCAGTATTATATTCTATTTTGTGAACTAAATTACAACCAATTTGATCAAAACAAGAAATAACCTCCCCTGGATAATTTTTCTCTGATTTAGAATTATAAAAAAATAAATAATGATTATATATGATTCTTCTTATGATTATATATATGAAAATTATCTATTGAAGAATTTGAGAAACATTATCCAGCCGTTCTAAATAATCCTGTGTTCAAAAGGCTTTCAAGTAAAATATAAATTAAATATTGCAATATACGAGGATATACTAAATAGGCATGAGGTTCCTCATACCTCGACAATGCCAGATAATAATTAATTGTAAAAAGCCTTGACAAAGGGATTCTTTGGATCCTAAATTGCCATTTCACATTGAAACCAAGCTGTTATACAAAAACGTAATACATATAAATTCCCTAATTACTCAAAGTCAAAATATAAGATTGTTTTACATGGCTGTAACAAGGCAGTAAATGTGCTTTATATAGAAAAATGAGTTCAAAGTAATAAAGGATATAAAGATATATGTATATCTTAGTCGAACAAAGCTTGGCTTCAGCACATTCTATATGACTACTTTTAAAAATATTTACTCTTTATATTTCTGTGTTGTATTTCCTATTGTTTCTAATGTCTTGTTTGATTTGGTTGAATTTACAATTTGATTCAGTTGATTTTCACACAATCTGAGTAATTTGATTTTCACACAATCTGAGTAATTTGATTTTCACACAATCTGAGTAATTTGATCTTCACACAGTTTGAGTCATTTGAATTTCAAACAATTTTAGTCATTTAATTTTCACATATTAATTTGTGTGTACATCCCATTCACTTGTTGGCCTTAGGCAGTGGCTTGTTTTTCTGGGCCTGCATGTTACTGTACTACTTTATTTTGATTAACTTTATATGGTGACTTTTGTATTCTTTAATGAACTACGTTGCTCCAATCTATAAACATTTTCAAATATTCAAAGTTTATTTCTGACTCTTAGAAACCATAATGGCAAAATTCATCACTCAGAATTTTGTGACCAAAATAATATAGAAGATTAGATAGAAGACATTGTGTATGAAATATTCTTAATAAAATATTCCTTTAATTGAAAATAGAAAACTAGAAACACTTTATAACTTTATATACTGTATAGATATTATGTGTTGTTATAGTTATAGATGTGTTTAAAATAAGTACTAAAGTAGCAGATAGGAGCGAATATATCAGATCATAACATTTCTGAAAAACTTATTTTGTAGATGCAACGCCGGGAAAGGGCTTTGAAAGGGCTTCCTCGACATTCACGTATACCACATCACGCGTGATGCACCCAACCGAGTACAATCCAGAAGCAGAAACAAACGTCACTCCAAGGTGAGAAAACATGCTTTTCATGAATTGCAAAACTAGAACCCCTTATCAATGTTATTCTTGACAAACTCACTTTTCACACTCTTCATCCTAATCTTAATATTACTTTTACATAATTTTGAGTTAGTTTAGAGGATAGGGGGTAGATATTGTGCTAATGAATATAGTCTTTGTTTATTCATCACTTTTCTGTTATTTTTTGTTTAAGTGTGCATCTGTGACTTCAAAGTAGACTGTAGAAAGAATTTTCGTCCTTGATAAAGGGGTCTCGATATTGATTTATCTGATGGTATAATTAACTTCTGAGCAAATAGGGGGGGGGGGGGAGTATCTTATTTTTTTCTTAAATAATGTAAAAAAGTGATTAACAGTAAAAAGCAGTTTTTCATTATACAAGTATATATTTTCTTTCAAAAAATCACAATACATGTATTTCAAATCAAATCATATCCATTTACCATCACAACCTCAACCATTTTATATTCCGTTAATTTATCACGTAAACTCAAATGAGACCTTCACGTAGTTTTCTGTGTTTCCCTTCTGTTTTTTCTAACTCTGTTGTTGCATGTCTTTGTGTTCTAGTGATTCAGAGGGGGAAGAATCCTATCAAACTGAAAGCACCACCAAGTTCAATTATTTTGCCAACTTTCTACTTTCTTTCACATAAATCTGTAAGTTTGAATATCAGAGGATTCCGTTCAGTTTTTTGTTTGGCTAGATAAGCTATATTGATAAGGCATATTACCCAATTATGGCTGTGGGACGTCATAAGATTTCAGAACTTCTGGTCAGAATCAAACTGAATTATATTCATTCAAGGTGGTTGGGATCATTTCTTATGACGTCCTCTGTCCCAATCCCAGCTAAACACTAGGGTAGGATGTTATCACCCCCTCCCATCACCATGTTTTAAAATGAAAATAGAGGAAAATTGAGTAGAATGAGCAATGAATAAAGTACTCAAGGATGTACTCAACACTCTAAATCGTAAAGAAATACCCCAAAATTAGATACTTCATTCAAATTTAAGAGAGAAATCGAGTGAAATAGTGATGACCAGAGAGGATTCATAAGCATTTGATTTTTAGTTGGATTGAGAACTAGTTACCTAGCTTTATCCCTTGTCAACACATCACAACACCATTCCATTTCATTTATTTCCGATACACCTTTATTTTGCATGGTTGCTGAATTTGCTAAACCAATGATTTAATGTACATTTTGTTCACATATTTATTTATGTTATTCAAAGTCTTGGCAGTTTAGTTTAGTCTACAAGTATGTTGCAGTTATTAGTTTGTAAAACAGTAAAACATGTAAATGGAAGGCCTTCTAACTTCAAAGTCCTGTTTGTTTGTAAACTGAACCTCTGTTATGCTTTGGTCATATTTGCTTCGATCTTCAACACCAGCGCCCGGCCGATTAGTATTTTGTTCAAAACTGAATGCAATTTTGAGCAGAATATTCTTTGGCCAGGTGCCGGCACTGAAAATTGGAGCAATTGTGACGACGGCATAAATGAAACACCTCCTAAGTGGAACACTATTTTGTGGCACCAAAGTCATTTTATTTACACATATTTACTGTATTTAATTTAAAGTTATTATTAATTATCATTTTTTATTATTTAAAAGTCTGCTCAACATGTTGTAACCCACCCACCAAACACTTACACTCAACACAGGGTACAGTAAGTACACTATACAGCTTATAACAGTACAATACATTGCTTATTATTATTACCCAAATGAACCTGACATACTGAATTGGGGGGTAGGCATCCTCCGATCACAGGGCTTCAAAATCCAGAATATATTAAGGAGGTACGGATTCTGGATACCTGCTTAGGAGGATGGGGGGTAGGGGATGCCTTGGTCACAGTTTTGGAGCGCTTCGTTTCTACGAAAAACCACTTTTTGCGTCATCCTGTATGGACAACAAAAGAGTTCTATCCAATATGTGGACTTGATTTTTTGTTGGAAATAATCTAAAATAAGGCAAAGACAAAATGTGGAATTATTTTTTATCTTGAAACCAAATGGGGGCAACTTCCATAATATGAATATAAAATAATGGGCAATTTTATAATTTCAATGGATTTCAAGGAGTACACCTCAGTTGAGTTTAATAGTCAGGTTGATTTTGATATGCCATGTCCTGTATTTCGCTATTGTTGAAGATCCAAGTTTTAGAGGCCATAGAAGGTGGCAAAATTGAACTCACTGAAATTGCTAATGCATTAGGTGGCAAAATTGAACTGAAGTTGCTAATGCATTAGGTGGCAAAATTGAACTCACTGAACTTGCTAATGCATAAGGTGGCAAAATTGAACTCACTGAACTTGCTAATGCATTAGGTGGCAAAATTGAACCAATTGAACTTGCTAATGCATTAGGTGGCAAAATTGAACTCACTGAACTTGCTAATGCATTAGATGGCAAAATTGAACTCACTGAACTTGTTAATGCATTACCATGAACTCAATGGCAGAAACACTAGATAGTGTTTAAAATTATGAGTACACAGCCAATATAATTCGGCGCCGTTTCGGCATCGAAAACATTCGGCGCTGTTCCGGCACCGTTTCGACACCGTTTCGACACCGTTTCGACACCGTTCCGGCACCGAAACCTTTGAACACCAAAATTTGCCACCGGACTAGTCAGTCCATTTGGTGCCGAAACGGCACCGAAATTTGGCACCGAAATGGCGTCGAAAATCAGATAGCATTTTGGGAGTGTAAAACTTGGATATTCTGAAGTGAGTTTGGAGTTAGGGCTAAAAGCATGGGTGGACAGCAAGGGTACCTGTTTTTGTGAACATGTGAATATAAACAATGCTTTTTCTGTTATTATATAAGATATGTTGATCTTGCAATAAAACTAAGTATTAGTTACTGCCTCCATATCCTACATCTGTGCTTACTTAGCAACTTTAATTCTATTCTTACATTTCTTCCTTGTATGTTATAATTACATACGAGGGTTGTTCTAGAAGTTCTTTGCCTGCTCTAACAAGTTCAACTTGAAGCTGATTGTTGGAGCATAGTAGGACTCATAGTAACAAAAAAGCTTCTGGAATACTATTGAGTTTATTAAATTAAAGTGTATGTAATTCTTTTTGACCAGGGTTTTGTGAACAAATAAACGTTATTTATGGATGTTGATTTCACTTCTTTTTACTCTGACTTTTTGGAATTTCATTTAACAACAGAATTATCATATACTGTGTCAGATATGCTTAGCTGCAGTACAAGTTAATATTTACCTCATATATTCATTCTGTACTGTACTGTAGTAGTACGATACAGTACTGTACTGTTTAACTGTAATGCACTGTATTGTACCATACTGAGTTGTATTGTACTGTACTGTTATGTACTATTTAATTTACTGTCATTTTATATGATTCCAGTGCTAGCGCCTGCAGACCATCAACAATCCCCATGGTGACGCACTTCCAGCATGACCAGAAAGCTACCGCCACATATAGCATAAACAAAAACCTTTCACAAGTTCTCCGCGAACGTGACACTAGCACACCAGACCCAGAAATTAAAGAGAGCCCATTTTTAAGCCCGATTTTGAGTCCAAGTCGATTTAGTAGTATCGTTACTGAAACAATGTATGATAGTAATGAACGTAAAGTTGGAGTGACTGTATATACAAGCCCAACAACGGACACCACCGCCACCAGTTCAACTGTAGGAGCTGGAATTTTATCATTTGCTGGTTTGTCATTACCCAGGCCAGACATTTCACATTTTCATATAATTGACCGAATTAAGGAAAACATTGGACTTAGTAGTATATTTGCATCTGGAGATACACGAGGTGCACCAAAGGGAAGTGCAATATCGACATTGAGCACAAAGCCAAAATTTAAACCCCCACCCTTGACCTTATCATCATCGGGCTCAAAAATGTCATCTGGTTTCTCACTAAAGATGGAGCCAGCCACACCACCCCCCAGCCCGACGACACCATCATCACCTAAAACCCCACCATCTACTCCGACCTCTTCCTCCCCTATGCCTATGTATGACACCCCTAATGCCTTAATGCAAATTGCTGGAATGCAGATGCCGAGTAGGAGCCCGAGTAATACAATCTTGGGGGCGATAGCTGCTATAAATAGATCAGGACTAAGCCAAAGTAGACCATAGCATGTCATCTTAAAGTAATACGTGTCATAACAAACCATGTATTTTAGTAATCTTTTAGCAAACCAAAGGTGTCATCACACAATACGTGACAAAAATAATCCGATTTTACGAGGGTATGTTTTATTCTCAGGGTGGCTTATATTAAACTTTTGGTGGGGGGTTATTACTTATGTACAGTATACGAGTATATATAGCAGCTTTGGACTGGCCTTCCACTGTAATGTATATGTACATATACACAAGATAATAAATTTGTATAAACTGTGAAAAAGTTATTTACAAGTTAGCAGAGAAATACAATATGTAATCGACAGTAAGGGCATTTATATTATTCACCAAAAGTTTGAGGCCAGTCCGTTAAAGAAACATGAAGTTCCACACACAGCTTTAGGAACCGCCTCATATGTTTTGCACTAAATTCTGCCCAAAATTGCTTGTACATGTGTAGAATTTAGTGTGAATGTTTGAGGTGGTCCCTGCACATAAATCAGTGATCTCCCCAGGATTTTTCTAATCTCGGTTTAAATTTTCATTTAACCTACATTTTTAAAATCCAAATTTTTCTTATAACTGACTCACAACCAGTGGATGATGAATTTCTAGATGTAAAGCACATTTATATGCTATTTTTCAGTGCCCAATAATTAAATTAGTGCTGGGGAGATCACCGTTGAAATATTGTATATATTTGTCCTCAATGAGGGTCTTAAAATGTAAAAAAGAACCCCTTCCTTTTGTTTGGATTGATTGCCTCACTGTTTCAATATCAGAGTGTAGTAGTATTAACATGTAGAATTGTAGGAAACAGTCCTAAGGATCTAAGAGCTGCTGGTCAAAATGGCATCATTGACCAGTTGCAATGTTATTTTCCTATACCTTGAGAAAAAATCAACTGGTCAGTATTAAAAGTAACCTCAGGTGCTGACCGACCGGCCCTTAGGGAGTTCCGTACTCTGGTAGGAAAGCTGGATGGTTAATCTGAATGTATGAATAGTGGGACTTCAATTAGAACTAAAGGAAGGGGTCCACTTTGATTGAAGTATGGGAGAAAAAGAAGGCCCCTTAATTTTAACAAGGGATAGGGAGGACTCCTCATTTAAATAATAGTAATTTAATAATGGGATGGGAGGGGGCTTTATGTGAATATTGGAAAAGGGCAGTTTTAATTGACAAATTAAGGGGAAGAGTCCTTAATATTATGAACAATAACACCATGTTCTAGTCTCTAGAGAGATGTTAGGAGCCAACATAGATTTGTTGAATTCAGAGTGTTGTTTTAATGAAGTTAGATATTCACCAGTTGTAGGAGTAAGAGTACAGTGTACTGCTGATTTGGTCACAATAGAGCACCATGGGTGCACCCAGTGTAATATAACACCATGAGTGTAGTAGTCTACCATAGAATCATGGGTGCACCCAGTGTAATATAGCACCATGAGTGTAGTAGTCTACCATAGAATCATGGGTGCACCCAGTGTTTCTAAATACTGTAACCTGGGTTAATTGCTGTATTATTTCATGACACAGATTTGTTGAAACCAATATTTAGCACAGTCATTTTCGGCCAGATTTAAAAATCGTGATTTAAATATCATTGCAATTAGCCTGGGTTAGAGCCCCACTTTTTAATTTTGGTAAGTTGTAAAAAGTTTTTTAAGAGATTGTGAATGTAGTTTAATATGCACAGTGTATTTTAAAACCTGATAATGTGAACACCTCCCTAATGTAAACACCTGAAATGCAAACACATTGCTATGCAAACACCTTGAAGTGTTCATTTTTAAATTAAGGGTGTTTACATTAGGTGTTTTCAGCATTGTGGTTTCAATGGTGATTGAATTGTGAGTGAAAAAAGCGTTGAATTGCATTTTTCATATTATCACTAAGTTAGACATTAATTTATAGAAATAATTTGTTTGCTCGGAAAGTTAAGATCAACACCATTGTCATTGGATCATGAGAAAAGCAATTGAAGTATTGAAGTAGAAACCGGTGATTTTTTTTATTATTTAAAGGGGTATTATTGGTTTGTTTCATTTAAAGGGGTATTATTGGTTTGCTTTAGTTCAACTTATTATGTTGCATATAGTGCTATGCAATAGTGCAGTTCTGTTTTACGTGTGTTGTTATAGTTATTGATAAGCTGGTAAATTTTCAGGGGTGGACTCCTATTAGGAGTCCTAACTGTTCCTTTTAAGTAATATTATGGGTCTAAATTATAAAATGTTTTGGGCTTAGTTTGATTGAATAATTTGTTTGGTATTTCTTGTCTAAAATATGATTGTTAGAAAAGGGGGGCTTTGTAAAGAAAAAATCCTGAGTCCATTTTATTTCAAAAATCTTGTTGGAACAAAATTGTTACTGATTTACCATTATAAGGATTCTTTAGAATTGTGCAGTATTTACATGTGTATTGAAATATGCAATATTCTGCATAAAGGTATTCTGAATTTGTTAATGTTCAAGCATCTTTAATTTACAACTGTATGCATATTACTATGGTGTGATGCCATGATTTTATTTCATTTAGGCTTGCTTTTTTTAACATTCCAATGTTTGTGATCAGTAAAATGTGATGAAATTGTATCAGTATTTACAAACGATATACTGGAGTTTAAAAAAGTTCAAAATGCAAAAGCTATAACTGATATAATTTGTTGATTTACATGAGCATTTAAACAAAGGCAGGATCCCCCAGTAAAATGTCAAAACATATTTTTGTGAGTATTTCTTCAACAAAAACATCGAAAAATAAAGTATATGCATTAAAGGGGATCCTGGGCAATGTGTCAATTTTGCTTACATGGTAAATTGGTGATCTGATTACAATGCTTTTGACCTCAAATAATCTGTTCTACAGTCAGCTTTCTTCAGATTTTTATTCATTTCGAAAAATAAAATATCGAAGACCTATTTTGACAATGGAAATTTTTCGAGAAATTGTTTTGCAATTTCAAAGGTTGTGCTACAGAATATTTGATGTTTTAGAAGTCGTGAATGCCAAAAGTATAAATTAAGTTGATATTAGTTGTATGTTAATTTCTTGCCTTCAGTTGCTTTTTGTGGATTATTATTTTACAGATATTGCTTTTGCAGATTACTAAAATTTTGAGTCGCATGAAAAATTTATTCATATTTTTAATTTCATGAATGAGTGAAAATGTTTGTTTTTTTGTTATAGAATTGTTATGTGTAAAGATGATTTAATATGAAAAATTGCAGAATTCAATTTGCAAAATCAATTGACTTGCATAATACACTGTAAATGTAGATACAGTAAAATGTAGATATACTATCAAATCATGTACATTTATCCATTGTAATTTAATAAACATGAAATACAATCAACCAAATGGTGCAAAATCAAACCTTTGTTATGTAGATTAAGATACAGTGAAATATGTACAGTGGAACACCTCTAAAAGTGGAAAACCTCTGTTAGTGGGACACTTCAGAGCCCCAAAGACAACTGACTCGAGGTACCAAAGGTGTTCCACTTAGACCGGTTTTATATATGCCCAAATCTGATGAAACTTTCAATTTTGAATCCCTTTAACATGTTTATTATGTTTAACGCTATCAAACAATTGGATTGTTAGCATTGTATTGTATAGACAGTATCATCATCTTAGTGTTGGGACAGCCACTGACCAATTGCTATCTTAGTGTAGGGACAGCTAAATAGATATGTGCATTGAGCTAAAAGGCGTTGTGTGAGACCTCTATTAACAATAGTGATTAAGATATGTCCAAATCTGATAAAACTAACATTAACATGTTTAATGCTATAAAACAAGTGGAGTGTTAGTATATAATTATAAAGTCAGTATCATCTAACTGTAGAGACAGCCTCTGACCAATTACTGCCAATACACACGATGAAAGATAACAAAACTGAAGTAAAGTTTTAAAAGTTAATTCAAAATGTGCTTTTTGCAAAGAAAGCTCTTTTGATTTTGTCTCCACCAAACGTGGTGATATATTGTTATGGGTTTCCAATTTTTTGTGACGGCATTCAGCACGTGGTTGGTGCTCGGCATCTGTAACAAATGGCTGGTGGTGACATTAAGCATGTTAATGTGGGGATGCATCGATTGACCAATTTGCTGTGTAGTAAATACGAATTCTTGACTGCATACACTTATAAATGTGCACTGAAGGAGACAGACAGACAGACTTACATGTCTTAATTATATACAGATCATTTTACATGAAAGGGAACTAAAATGAAGATGATTGAATATTGAACTGACATATCAAAGAAATCAATTCAATTTACATCTATTTGTTTAGATCATGCTTGACAGCTGTGGTAGAAAGGATCTGGTTGATTGAGCACTAGATACCATGTAACTGCTACACGACGACATTTCATAGGATAATCATTATGCAACACACATGTACATGTATAGCTATAGCTATAATCATCCTAATTCTTATCTATCTGGCAGAAACAAATGGTAAGAAACATGGATGTGTGGAAGCAATCAATGACTTGAGAAAATCTATACATGAAGACTTAACAAATATGAAGAAGGAAATTCGATCCGAATTATCAAAAAGGTCTAAACAGGGGAAGAATGCCAAAAAAGTGACAGCCAAAGATGTTCGCAAAATGCGAGCTGGAATAATTGAGCACATCAACGCAAAGAACATAAGTGGTGAATTGCCGAGAATTGCTGGTTTTGTACGGCTGGCATTCCATGACTGTGTAGGAGGATGTGATGGGTAAGTTAATACCCCAGACAGCTAGGTTGCTTTGGGAAACCATTCACTTCGAACTTTTGCCTGTAAAGAGAAATCAGTCATCGAGGTATCTGACCATGATATTTAATATGGGTGCAATGGAAAGACCCTCTGATATACAAGAAATCCCAAATCATTTGCCATACCATACCTGGTCCTTTGACTCATAAAACTCACTTTTTCTCATGATGTATGACTGACTTGATGTATGACTGACAAAGAGCAAAAATCACTCATGCAGAAAGTGCTTTAATTGCCTTTTAATATTGAACAAGGTAAGAAAGAAGATTCAATTTGAAACTTGTCATGCAGCTTAGTATATAGGAAAACATCTTTTGCAAGCTGATATTATTGGAAAATGAAGGCTAGTCACAAAGTGCTGATCAGTGGAAGTCAAACAATCATTTTTGATCATACTGTCTGCAATTCTGCTAGTAAATACAATTTCATTTTGAGGTAAAGGATCCATTGGCCCTTTCACTTTCCCTATTTAACTGTTTCAGATGCATAGATCTAGACAACGAAGAAAACAATGGATTGGGTGAATACATTGAGGAATTGGAGGATGTTTATGCACGATTCTCTCGGAAATTGAGTCGTGCTGATTTCTGGCAACTTGCGGGAATAACAGCACTTGTGGTCAGTGGAACTGATTGCCGTTCGTGTATGCATCCTGATGTACAGTTCATGGCAGGTCAGTTTTGCCACAGCAACATAGTACTAAGTTGATCAAATTAATATCTAAATGTGTGAACATGTAAAAAAAAATTAATGGTGGCCTGTGGCAGCGCATGGAATTTTATGCGCGTTTCAGTAATAACTGATTCTGAGAATTTGCTACCAATGAAAGCATAGCACGGAAGTTAAACCCAATCACGGCAACAAGAACATTCAGATTAATAAATGAAAGTCATGGTATTGGATTTAACTTGTTAAACTATGAACAATTGAGCTACATATTAAAATATTGAGAAATAAGTAGAGTCCATTTCACTGTTTTATTGCGTCAGTAGAACCCCAAAAATAAGAAATCGGGAGACCATTGTGCAATAATATATGGAAAAGTATATTCATAATGTACATGAATGATATTTGTATATTTCAGATTTTCTATTTTGTTGTGCAATAAGCCTGTGCCCTCTTGTAATTTGAAGAATTTCAGCCATGTTAATCTTATTGAAAATAACATGGCAGAGAAGCATCCATATATAAGAGGCCACACACTTTATAAGCCAAACTAGAAGCAATCCAAGATATACAAATGTCATTCATGTACAATAGGAACATATTTTTCCATATATTATTGCATGATGATATTTTGATTTCTTATTTTTTAAGTTTTACTGACGCAATTCAACAGTGAAATGGACTCTAGATGCTGAGAAAATGCTTGGAAAACTAATTCTGCATTTTCAATGTATTAAAGGACGAAAAGACTGTGCAGCATCTCCGGAATATGCTGGTGAAATGAGGAAATTCCCAAATAATGGTGGTCACGCTGATATAGATGATGTCCTGGGCTTTTTTGAAACAACATTTGGTAAGTAGAAGTGTCCTTTGAATTGCTACCCCAACCATGTGTAGAAACTTAATAATATATAAATTGACAACTTTTCATGATTGATGATTTGCAATAGACGTTTCCGTTAAATCGTGCCCTCTTTTGATCCATCAGGGAAACTATAACTTATTGGCTAGATTGATGATGTCATTGGCTGTAGGTAGCAAGCTGCCCATTCAAAAAACTTTTTGCTAATTTTATAAAGTACAACCTATGACATCATCAATCTAGCCAATATATTGTGGTTTCTCTGATGGATCAAAAGATGGCACGATTTATCTACGTCTATTAACCAAACAAGTGTCTTATATGTTTAAAAAATACAAGTTCATGTACATTGTACATCTATAATGTCAACAAGTCCCAAGTGTGATACTCCGATATATAACTGATATATATAACTAGAATTAAATGATTTAAAAATTTGATTGTCTTTCTGTTTAGGTCTCCCCAGATCAAGACCAGAATTAGCAGTTGCATTACTAGGTGCCCATTCTTTAGGTAGAACTCATCTGAACGACTCTGGATTCCAAGGATCTTGGGACTCAACACAAAGCAAAATTGATGCATTATATTACCAGGATTTACTCAACTTGAAGTGGACACAACAAGAAAGCAAAAATAACGAGGGTGATGTTAAGTTTCAATGGAGTGGAAGCTTCGCAGGTGAGAACTTTTCGTCTGAGCTTCGAGCATCAAGGCAAAATATCGCAATGGATGTTTTTTATGGGGTTTCCAAATATTTTGTTAAGTGCAGTAGTTATTTTGATTTCATCTTAGGCTTGACTGGTGGAACAACTTTTGAATTGTTGAGTTGGCTGAGTGTTTTAGAGTATACGAGTGTAATACAAGACATTTTTGGGGTTTAGTGTCACTACCTTAAGGTCATCATTTCAAGTTACTACCTTAAGGTCATCATTTCAAGTCACTACCTTAAGGTTATCATTTCAAGTCACTACCTTAAGGTCATCATTTCAAGTCACTACCTTAAGGTCATCGTTTCAAGTCACTACCTTAAGGTTATCATTTCAAGTCACTACCTTAAGGTCATCGTTTCAAGTCACTACCTTAAGGTTATCATTTCAAGTCACTACCTTAAGGTCATCGTTTCAAGTCACTACCTTAAGGTTATCATTTCGAGTCACTACCTTAGGGTCATCGTTTCAAGTCACTACCTTAAGGTTATCATTTCAAGTCACTACCTTAAGGTCATCGTTTCAAGTCACTACCTTAAGGTTATCATTTCAAGTCACTACCTTAAGGTTATCATTTCAAGTCACTACCTTAAGGTCATCATTTCAAGTCACTACCTTAAGGTCATCATTTCAAGTCACTACCTTAAGGTCATCGTTTCAAGTCACTACCTTAAGGTTATCATTTCAAGTCACTACCTTAAGGTTATCATTTCAAGTCACTACCTTAAGGTCATCGTTTCAAGTCACTACCTTAAGGTTATCATTTCAAGTCATTACCTTAAGGTCATCATTTCAAGTCACTACCTTAAGGTTATCATTTCAAGTCACTACCTTAAGGTTATCATTTCAAGTCACTACCTTAAGGTTATCATTTCAAGTCACTACCTTAAGGTTATCATTTCAAGTCACTACCTTAAGGTCATTGTTTCAAGTCACTACCTTAAGGTCATCATTTCAAGTCACTACCTTAAGTTCATCATTTCAAGTCACTACCTTAAGGTCATCATTTCAAGTCACTACCTTAAGGTCGTTTCAAGTGACTACCTTAAGGTTATCATTTCAAATGATTCCTGCTCATGATCATGCTTATTTAGACATGGCACTATTTTCAGGTCGAAGCACTAATACAATGATGCTGAATGCCGATATGTGCCTTCGTAAAGTTATAAATCCTGTTGACAAAAATGGACATTCTGCATGTACTCTCAATAATTGCCGGGACCAACCTGAAACCATCAAATATGTGGAACTATTTGCTGTTAACATTACAGCCTGGGAACAGCACTTTAAGGAAGCCTACACTAAAATGACTACAACTGGATATGAGAAGTCTCAACTGTATGTCCCTGTTTAGAAATGAAAATATTATGCTATCATATATTATTACACTTTCATCAAATTATCAGTAACAGTATGATTTGGTATAAACATTTGAGTTGATCAATTTCACATGTTACAAAACATGGGATCCTAATGGGACAATAACCCAGATGCGAGTAGAAATAATCTTGATTTATGTCATTAAAAAATCAAAATTCAGTCAAAGTAATATCATATTTGAAATCTACATGTAAAATTACATCTAGAAATGTGGTTTTAAAAAGTGTTTATCAACTTTGAAAAATTAATTTTCTTTGAAAATGTGACTTCTAGCTCGGGAAGATTCCCCATAGACCCCATGCTATAAAATTACAAAAAAACTTGTACAGAAATATAGTGTTTGCAGACTGCCTTGTGTTTAATATAAAATATTTTTCAAATTGTCCTATAGTTTGTGTATTGTCAAATACCAATAGAGCACCCTCCTGAAGAGACAAGGATCTAGGAAAACATCTTTCAAAATGCTCATGTTAACTCTAAGAGTAGAATCTAGATACATCATGATGTTATACAAGGTATATAGGCCATACAAGGTAAATTGACATTTACAGGAGGTCAAATGAGACAATTAAAATAAGGATATTCTATAGTTATGCATTTAGATCTATGACTAAACGCTTATTGATTTTATCTCACATATCAGTCAATGGAAATAATATATAAGCTACTGTACATAAAGTGTGTATTTTCTTACTTTTAAGTATTTCACAAAACCCCTTTAAACATTACATACATGTGTATACCTTTATCTCAGAGATGGTTGAAATACAGCAGAGTATACTAGTATGTCAAGCACGATGCTTGGGTGTGTAGGTGCCTAGGTGGGTGGGTTAACCATGACTCCATTATATGGTTCATTTTTTATAATGACCCCTCCAAAAAATATAACAATACTAACAAACAGTATTTTCAAAAACTATTACTTATTTATTTCAAAAATACATATTTGGCAATTCATGAGTCAGAAGTACAATATAATATCATTTAAATTGTTTCACATAAAAGGAATGTATACTTTTCAAAGCTCCTTACTTATGAGATCAAAAGTTGGACTCTCATTAGATCAAATCATTTAAATTCTATGAATAGCACTAGTATGAAGTTAAATGTGTTAATAATTACAAACAATGTTAAAGTATGGTAAAATCTTAGAGATACATTGTTCATTTAAGATGCATTGAGATACATTTATTATTCACACGTTCAAATGGATTATGTAGCAGCACACAATATTAGCGGGGCCTATACACGGTATAGATGGGGCTATAATCCTCAGGATCCGAACCAATTTTCAGTGTTCATTGAGAGTTCATACAATAATATACCAACAATATAACATGATTTAAGCTCGGAATAAAACAGGAACAGCATATGAGAGGAGATTCAAATGGAATATACCAATTGAAAAATAAGTTGTCAATATGAAGTCATGGCATATCATTTATATTTGAACCTTAATGTATCTTCCTATGATTTTTTAAAAAAAACACCTACGGTAGAGATTGCTGAGTCATCTAAAAGTTAAGGGTTATCAATAAAAATATCGCAATAAAAGATATTATGCTTCCACCATGATGCTTATTTGGTGATAGATGGGGATGACCTGGCTCTGATGAGTTAGACTGTCGGAGTTTTGATATCAGAGCAAAGGCATTTATACAGTACTATAAGTACTGTAATACTGTACTACAAGTACTTAAATACTGTACTTAAAGTACTGTTATACTATTATTTACTTTTGCATACAATATTGTACTGTAATACAACAAATACAGCAAAACTGTAGTTCAAGTACTGTAATGATATACATGTACTAAAAGTAAAGTTATACTATACTACAAATACAGCAATACTGTAATTAAAGTACTGTAATAATGTACATGTGTTAAAAGTACAGTAGAACCTGCTAAGTGGAACACCTCTATAAGTGGAACACCTCGCAAGTGGAACACTTTTTCAAAGTCCCATTTCAGAAACCCATTCACTTAATGTTAATTGAACCTCTGTAAGTGGAACACCTCCAAACTTGAACAGTGAACACCCCATATTGAAAAATTAACCTGCTAAGTGGAACAGTCAATTTTCCATAAATTTCAATATTGATACTTATGTAAACAGAATTAACATCCTACAGTGATATCTGGGTATGAAAACAGGTAATAACATGTTAATTGGCAAATTAGAATTTTAAAGGATTACCATTGCAAATTGGATTAACCTCCTGTAGATATCAACATGTGATGCTACCACTAATTAATTTGATAATCAGTAAATTAGGATTTCATGAGATTATCATTCATCAAATTGGATTAACGTCCTGTAGAGATGGACATGTGATTCTACTACTAACTAATACCCTTTGCAGTTTGTTGACTTGATAAGTAAGATTAAGAATGTCAGTTAAAAACAAATGAATCATAAGCAGTAGGCACTAGTCTTCAAAACTTAATTGCCAAATCTTTGAACCTGAGACTGGCAGAATGAGGAGGATTAAGAATGTCAGGAAACATTTTTGGCAGAATGAGGAGGATTAAGAATGTCAGATAGCTTTTTGAGTAAAACTACTGGATAATTAATGGTATATAGCTGCCTGCAATGAACAGAGAATCATATTTCCAGTGATACATATAAACTCTATATTTTATCTTGTCTGTTCTTTAAATCCCCGCGAACCCAAAACCTCCGTAAGTGGAACACCTCCTAAGTGGAACGCTTTTTGGCAGAACGGAGGGTGTTCCACTTACACAGGTTCTACTGTACTGTTATACTATACTACAAATACTGCAATACTGTAATTAATAATGTACTACAAGTACTGTAAGTCCTGATATAAGTGTATTCATGATATGTTGGGAACTTGTAAACTTTCTATTGTCATGGCATGTCTTCAAGTCTATGGTAGTACGTATTTGTATAAAGCTGTTTGCAGACTGACTTAAAATTCTGTTTTATGGCATCACCTTATTAAGATTCTTCAAGGGCATTCTATATTGTTGTTTTCTATTACAAACTGACTTGGTGTACAGAATTTACATTCTGCTTAATGGCATCTAGATTCTGTAGGGGTGATTCTAAGCCCACGAGACTGTAGCAGACTCCTTTCTGCTCACTGGACCCACTGTATGATGTAATAGAAGAGCCTCCTTGGCTAATAGCAGCTGAAATACAAACAGTAACTCAATTAGCTGTTTCATTTTTGTGAGTTTGGGTCCACTTTTGTAATACTAGAGTCTCAAAGGACAATATCAGTTTGAATACACAATATTCCAAGCAATATCTGCTTTAAATTAGTCTATTGTCTAATATACACACCAATTGAACCTAAGAGAGGGATTGTTTTGTCATACTTTGGGCCCTTAAAATCAATGTATTTCATCCTATGAAAATTATAAGTCAATGAAATAAAATCTAAAAATACAACAATTAAGAAATTAAATATGATGATATAAAGATGGCGACACAGAACTGTAGTATGCTGCTATTAAAGACCCACTTTGCGAATTTTCAACATTTTTGGGCAAAATAAAGACTTACATTTAAATTTCATAGTATGTCCAGTGTATTGACAAGTACCTTATCTTTCATTTAACACCATCAGCAGCTCAAACGGACCACATCAAAGCTTACAATAAATTATCAAAAAATGTTTTCGATCTAACAAGCTTAATATGTCAAGTTTTATCAATGTCATTGAAAGATGGCAAAGTTGTTTGTATTACATGATACATGTACATTTATTTTTATAGAAGTGTCGCCATCTTTTAAATCAACAGTAATTTAAAACATGCAGTTTGTTGAACATGTGCATGCATGTCTAATGATCTCTGAACTTCAAATGCTTTTTCTATGTGAGTTATTTTTTTCTTGGTTCAATATTAAAGCAAATCAAATTTTGTGTCATATTTGAGTAAGTGTGTGAGTAACATGTTTCAATGATTATTTTCTTATTTTTCCTTCTAAAATAAGTATAGTGGGCCTTTGCTTTGGAGTGGAATAAAAAAAAATTGTTCCAGGAACTTTCACTGTACTAATAAGATTGTAATTATCTTTGGTAGACCTTTCCTTTTGACATTTTATAAGACTACTTTTCAGAGGACACTAGATCCATGTTTTTTTCTTTTGTCATAATCAAACCATAAAATATTATTGCTATTTCAGAACTTTATCCTCCAATCCTTTTAACAACAAATACTCCAAACTCAGATGGAATCTTTCGAAATTGATTACTCGGTACTCTAAATGAACCCATTAACTCACCTGCGACTGTGGGGAATGTCTGTGTAGAATATGGGCCAGTGTAGACCAAGACGTTTCCCCCCAAGGTGCAGCCATTAGGGAACACACAGCCACTCATTTCTGTCAAAATGGCGCTACTTCCTGCGGCATGCCCAGTAAGTTGATGAGGTGCCAAGCCGTTCTGCTGTATGATGACAACCAACTGGCTGGCTGAACCTTCCTTGTGTTCTGTCTTAGCCTAAGAACATTGAGAAATATTAGTGTTTATGCAGTGAATTAACAGGCAAGTAGAGTAACTTCACAAGATTATTTATTTTTGTGTACCCCAAATAATATTCCACCCACCTGTACTCCATTGTCTTTGGCAAACATTGGTGCATTCACTAGGTTGATTCCATTGTTCACTTGAACCTTCAAAAGTCCCATCAGAACGGCTGATTTGAGATACGCCCCTGCCCCCTTCATCGATGACCCCTGGGTGATGATTTGAAGCTGGGTGTCTCCGTTGACTGTTGGCACCAGTGTGGATGCCAGGGCTCCCATGGCTTGTCCCAGGGCCACCCATGGCTTACTGGCCTCACTCAATGCATTACTCAGGGCAGCAGCATTCACCTGTATGTATAGGGGTACAAGAGGGGGAATAACCCAGAATTCAAAGATCATAATCATGTAAAGATGAACGTCTAGATCTAACATTACATCCAGATAGGTTCATCTGGATTTCTGGGATATTTCCTCCTCTATGGTTACTCAACGCAGCAACATTCACCTATATAGGGTTATATAAGAGGAGGGGGATAATCCAGAATTCAAAGATGAACCTGTCTCCATGTAAAGATGACCCTTTAAGTTCAACATTACATCCAGATAGGTCCATCTATGAATTCTGGGTAATTTCTTCACCTAGGATTACAAAGTAATCACTGTAACGACTATACATACATGTGGTTGGATGATTTCAGAACAATTTTTATCTTTTTATTCTTATTTTTTAAAGATATATATCAGAGCATTTTAGTCTGTTAATATCAAGCCAAACCACCAATGATGGACAACCAAGATATATATTATCAAATAATGCCTAAAATGTACACATTTTGAAATTCACTGATATATAAACCAAACTACATTCGTTGAGACAAAATGCTTTACGGTTTGTACTTAATAATATTTTTACAAAACAAAATGTTACTCACAGCTCCAATAAGTTCTTTGCCTTCAGCTGCATCAACAAACTGTTGAGCTATCTCTTCAGCTACTCTTGTTTGAGCTTCAACAGTACTGGCCCCCAGATGAGGCGTGCTTATACACAGGGGATGAGCAATCAGATCTTTATTGGTAGGAGGTTCCTGGAAATAGATGTTCTGTATGGTAAACATTTGGGCTCCAAAATACAAGCTCCTAGGACTATGATGGGGAATGTTTCTACCCAGGGGAGGAAGCTATTAGATTGTATTAGGGTTTAACCAGTAGTACTGGAGATAGATAAATGTAAAATGAGATCCTAGATGTAGGAGCAGGAGGATGCTAAATTGGAACAGGGGTGCTTTCAAATCTGTCACAATTGTATTTAACCCAGCCTCTCTCTAAACTATGTATTGAAAGAATTGCCTTCAACACAATCTAAACATTTCTATACAATTACGAGTGTTTTATTTTTTCAGATTCCACTCTTTTTCAATCTCTTTAAATGCGTTCCCTGGAAATATCAGGATATCCTTATAATAAATACTAATACCACAATGTTCCATGGAAAAAATTACTTGAATTAAATTAATGTGGTTTCAATTCTACCAGTATGAAAAAAAATGTTATACATGAATAATTCAGTCATTATGGGGTTTAATAGCAGCAAAGTAAACCAGAACAACGGCAACGCCAAAGCGTATCGAATCCCATCGAACAGAATTGACTGGCATTTTTACAAACGAAATATATAGCAAATATCATAAAATAACACACATAAGAAAGGCCACCATTTTTAAAATGGTTGCTCACTAGCCAAGTTGTCATCAGAAGGAGAATTATGCTTTTAATTAGCCACATATAAAAAAATTTAAAATCGCACACATGTACATGTAAATGGTGGCCATTTTTTAACATGGCCGCCTACTACCCAAAATGTCACATATCAAATATGAACAAAATCGCTATATTACTTTTTGAGATATAATAAAAAATGTAAAATAACACACATAAAAATGGTGGCCATTTTTCAAAATGGCCGACTACTCCCCAAAGTTTTATTAGACAATGTGCCATGCTTAAAGTATTCACATATCAAATATGAACAAAAGCTCCAATACTTTTCGAGTTAAAGTAAAAAATGTAGAAATGACAGCCATTTTTTAAAATGGCCGCTTACTACGCAAAGTGGCATGAGACAGTGTGAAAGACTCATGAGTATTCACATACCAAATATGAACAAAATCGCTCCACTACTTTTCAAGTTACAGCAAAAATCGTAAAATGAAATGCAAAGGCAGCCATTTTTCAAGATGGCTGCCATGTATTTCTTCTATAATTGCATTTCTAGCTAAATCAATGTCCTATATAACTGTTTTACATTTAAAACATATTGCTATTACAGTTTCATATGCAGAACTTAAATTACTGTAAAATCGGCACTAAAATGGCCGCCATTTGTAAAAATCGGTTTTCGAGCTGATTTTCTACCCCCATTTATAATTGGGTATATGTGTACAAAATATGAACAAAATCAAGCCAACGGTATTTAAGTTATAGCCCGGACGGACGGACGGAGGCGTTCCCTATATCCCTCTGAAATTCGTTTGATGGGATAAAAATAATATGAATTAATCATAATGGTAAATTATTGACCACCAGACACGGACCAACAAAAATGTTGGAGACTATTACAATATAATGAAGATGGATACTCAGGATTTGACATATCGGACAATTTGGTTCATTTGCGATGTAATGGGGTGTAAATTCTGAATGAGAAAAAATGTGATGGCAATATCTCATTTGAAACTACCAGCCTAACCAATCAGAATACAGCACCTATGTTTAAAAGTTGCAATAAAATAAAATTTCATAATTTATTCGACATGATTTCATGATCCCTTACAAATACATGTCACCGCTACATTTGCTTCCTAACCTTGTGTTAAACCACGTCCGATAAAATATAATTAAAGCATAATGTATTCATACATGTGTAGAACTGTGGTCAATAGTAGGACGATACTCATAAAGCAAAATTATTCAAGTTGTTGGATCATACATTCACTCTCAAAATTAATACTTGACAAGACTCATCGTAAGATCACTATGAGGCTGTATATATGTATGACGACTATAATCCTCCTAGCATTGACCTGCACAAAAGAAGTATCAGCTAAAAAACGAATATGTGTAGATGCAGTCGATGATCTCAAGAAAAGTCTACAAGAGGAGCTAGCAAACATGATGAGGGAAATTCGGTCTGAATTATCAAAATTAAAACAGGGTGAAAATGTCAAAAAACTGACAGCTGAAGATGTTGGTGAGATGCAGGTAGCAATAACTGAGCATATAAAAGCAAAGAATGAACATGGCGAAATGCCAAGAATTGCTGGATTCGTCCGCCTGGCATTCCATGACTGTGTAGGCGGATGTGATGGGTAAGTCAGCAACAGTTATTCCATTAATTTTACCTGTTGTTTTATTTATTTAGCCTGTTGTGAGAAATTCTCGTGAAACCCCTGTATAGAAATCCAATGTAAAATAATAAATACTCAGTCATTATTTCAAGAATGAAGCAAAAGATGTAAATATATACCGTACATATTTTGTCAAAAGGGAGAGAGAGGTAGAAAATGATTTAGGCTTGACCAAGGAGATTTTATAAAACCAATGTAAATTTTGAAAAGAAAACAATTTCAGGATTTGACAAGGGTAATGAGTAATTTGGTCTTAAGGTTTAAAATATAATTAGTACCGTGGGTACTGGGCTCACATGGTGTTGCTCAAAAGTGAAAATAGAAAAGACGGGTATAATTTTTTGTGACAAAATTATTTCATACAACTACTCTTTACAAAGACATGGCTTTTTACAATGCAGGACACCTGAACTTATTTGTAAAGCTAGGAAATGGGCCAAAAGTGAATTTCCCGAGACAAAAATGGTGGCCATTTTGAAATTAGGCGAGATTTTGAAGCAGGAGTCACAGTTTTTTTTTTCTTTATTGATGTTGAACAAAATTATTTTAAATCGGGAATCATATCTACAGAGGAATTAAAAAGTGTTGACAGAGGTTTAAAACTTGCCACTTTTTTGGACTGACAGAGAGACAGATGGACGAATCAATGTTAACTAAAATGGCTGAAAATAAAAAAACTGATATAATATTTTGCCGACTTTTTGTAACAAAATTATTTCATACAACGACTCTTTACAGTGACATGGCTTTTTACAATGCAGGACAGCTGAAATTGTTTGTAAAGCTAGGAAATGGGCCAAAAGTGAATTTCGCGAGACAAGAATGGTGACCATTTTGAAAATAGGCGAGCTTTTGAACCAAGAGTCATAGGAGAGTTTTTTGTATTGATGTTGAACAAAATTAACTTAAAACAGGAATCCTATCGACAGAGGGTTTAAGGCAAATGGTCCAAAAGTGTATTTTGCGAGACAGATGGACAAATCAATGTTAACTAAAATGGCTGAAAATAAAAAAAAATGGATATAATTTTTTGCTGATTTTTCGTGACAAAATTATTTCATACATCTACTCTTTACATTGACATGGATTTTTACAATGTAGGACACTTGAAATTATTTGTAAAGCTAGGAAATAGGTCAAAAGTAAATTTCGCGAGACAAAAATGGCGGCCATTTTGAAAATAGGCGAGCTTTTGAGCCAGGAGTCATAGGGGAGTTTTCTGTATTGATGTTGAATAGAAATAACTTAAAACGGGAATCCTATCGACAGAGGTTTTAAAACGTGCCACTGTTTTTGACAGAAAATGGATTTCACAAGTCAGATGGACAAATCAATGTTAACTAAAATGGCTGAAAATAAAATAATAGATATAATTTTTCGCTGATTTTTTGTAACAAAATTATTTCATATATCTACTCTTTACATTGACACAGATTTTTACAATGTAGGACACCTGAAATTATTTGTAAAGGTAGGAAATGGGTCAAAAGTGAATTTCGCGAGACAAAAATGGCGGCCATTTTGAAAATAGGAGAGCTTTTGAAACAGGAGTCATAGGGGAGTTTTCTGTATTGATGTTGAACAGAAATAACTTAAAACAGGAATCCTATCGACAGAGGTTTTAAAACGTGCCACTATTGTTGACGGACAGACAGACAGACAGACAGACAGACAGACGGATGTTAACTAAAATGGCTGAAAATAAAAAAATAGATTTAATTTTTCGCTGATTTTTCGTAACAAAATTATTTCATACATCTACTCTTTACATTGACATGGATTTTTACAATGTAGGACACTTGAAATTATTTGTAAAGCTAGGAAATAGGTCAAAAGTGAATTTCGCGAGACAAAAATGGCGGCCATTTTGAAAATAGGCGAGCTTTTGAGCCAGGAGTCATAGGGGAGTTTTCTGTATTGATGTTGAACAGAAATAACTTAAAACAGGAATCCTATCGACAGAGGTTTTAAAACGTGCCACTGTTGTTGACAGAAAAGTGGATTTCACAAGTCAGATAGACAAATCAATGTTAACTAAAATGGCTGAAAATAAAAAAATAGATTTAATTTTTCGCTGATTTTTTGTAACAAAATTATTTCATATATCTACTCTTTACATTGACACAGATTTTTACAATGTAGGACACCTGAAATTATTTGTAAAGCTAGGAAATGGGTCAAAAATGAATTTCGCGAGACAAAAATGGCGGCCATTTTGAAAATAGGCGAGCTTTTGAACCAGGAGTCATAGGGGAGTTTTCTGTATTGATGTTGAACAGAAATAACTTAAAACAGGAATCCTATCGACAGAGGTTTTAAAACGTGCCAGTCAAAAGTGAATTTCGCGAGACAAAAATGGCGGCCATTTTGAAAATAGACGAGCTTTTGAACCAGGAGTAATAGGGGAGTTTTCTGTATTGATGTTGAACAGAAATAACTTAAAACAGGAATCCTATCAACAAAGGTTTTAAAACGTGCCACTATTGTTGACGGACGGACAGACAGACAGACAGACAGACAGACGGACGGACGGACGGACGGACGGACGGACGGACAGACAAGTGAGCGATTGCAAAAGCTCACCATGTGAGCTAAAAATATGTGGCAATTGTTAAAAAGATGAATTCTCTAGATCATTCTTCTTATTTGAACACCAATAGGCATTCTGATACTCATACAGAGGTTTCACTAGAATTTATCACAACAGGCTAAATAAATGAAAGCAACAGGCAAAATTAATGGAAATCATAAATTTAACATGGAAAGGTCCCTAAAAACAACAGGCGATTTTGTGAAAACAACTGGTAAAAATCGCCTATTGCCTGCTGCTAATGAAACCCCTGCTCATAGCATCTTCTGTTTCACCTTTCAGGGATGAGAAGAAATGAAATGTCATGGTTTATCATGATGACCAATAGGCAATAGATATTATATTGAAAACTGATGATTTTAATCTGAATGTGAGAAGTTTGCAACAATTCCCCACATTGCATGATATATGGAAAATGTAGTCTTGACAAAATGTTTTAATCACTAAATCAGTGAAATTATCCAATACAATCTTAAAAAGATATCATGGTGATGATGTTTTAACATACAAAATAGAGTAGAGACGAGTGGTATTAGCAAGGAATAAGGTAAACAGGCATGTAGTCAACACTCTAAATTGTACAGAAATGCAAGAAAATCAGGAAGTTCATTCAAATTTTAGAGAGAAAATGTGGGAAACAGGCATGACTACCTTGCATATTTTCTTACAAGTTTATATCCAGCTTGTTGTTTATATAGGCTATTAATGCATTGAATTATTTTTTTCATCTAATTAAACAAAGTAGAGCAATTACACACAGGCTATTACATGGTTGATGTTAAACAAGAGCACAAAGTGCAAAATGTTGCACCAAAAGGAAACCAATTTGTAAAATAAATCATGTTGTTAAAAAAAAAATGATAAGAAATATCCAGAAATCAGGCCTAGAATATCAGCTATTGGAGTAGTTTTCTTTCCAGAAGATAATCTTAATATCTGAAGTCCGTAAGTTATCATTCATTAGCCATTAATATACATGTATATACAAGAGTTGAAATTATACCATCTAAAATCAAAGCATAATTGTAATTTTGCATTTTAATGCTCCAGATGCATTGACCTAGAAAATGGAGACAATGCTGGTCTAGAGGATTATATAAAGAACTTAGACGATGTATATGCACAATTCTCAAGAAAACTAAGTCGAGCCGATTTCTGGCAACTTGCAGGAATAACAGCGCTTGCGGTCAGTGGAAAGGATTGCCCTTTGTGTATACATCCTGATATACAGTTCACGGCAGGTTAGTTTTGCCACACTTTACATTTAATTAGATTTGAGCAAATCATGTAATATTAGTAATCAATAAATATAGGTTATTTCATGCTTGATTTTCAATATGAATTTTATTCAAGGGTAATATGATATTGACCGAGCGAAATATGATATTGACCGAACGAGCGTAGCGAGTGAGTGTCAATATAATGTTTACCGAGGTCAGTGTCATATTTCCCGTGGAATAAAATTCATATTGAAAATCAAGCATGAAATAACCTTTTTATTCCATAAGTTAATTTTTGAGAATTCAAGGAAAAAGAAATATGAAATTAAATTGAAAAATTGAAAATTTTGGGAAATAATGAAAAATTTTGAAAAAAATGATTCAAATTTTAAACTTTTTAAATAAATGAAAATCTTTTTTTGAAAATTGGAAAAAATTGGAAAAATCAAATTTTTGGAAAAAAATGAAAAAAATTGGAAAAAATGATTTTTTTGAAAAAATAGGGACAATATGATTTTTCGAGTATATATGATTTTTTTTACAGGGACAATATGATTTTTCGAGTATATATGATTTAAAGAGGGATAATATGATTTTATTTCCCAGGGAAAACAGTAGTATTATGGAATAAACAGGGATATGATTTATTATTTACAGGACGAAAAGACTGTGCAGCATCTCCCAAATATGATGGTGAAAAGAGGAAATTCCCAAATAATGGTGGTCATGCTGACATAGATGATGTTTTGGGCTTCTTTGAAACAACATTTGGTGAGTTGAAATATTCTTCCCAAAAGGGCAAAACTAGAATTCATAATTAAATACGGATGAGAGATTTCAAAAGCCAACCATTCTGATAGCCAACAAAAACAAATGACAGAAAACATATTGTCAAATGGAATGGCCTGAAGTGTACCAGCTGACCTTGTTGGACTTTTAAATCCACTAGGAGAACTTCTGCCAGAACATATAACATCATATTTTTATTTCTGATCAATAATAAATACATGTCGTAGTAAAACCTATATTCTTTTTATTTTAGATCTTCCAAGATCGAGACCAGAATTAGCAGTGGCATTACTAGGGGCCCATTCTTTGGGCAGGACACATCTTAATGCTTCAGGGTACGATGGGGCATGGGACAATACTGTTAACAGAATTGATACTTTATATTACAAGGATATTCTGAAGTTGGACTGGACACAACAGGAGATGAAGAACACCAAGGGTGATGTGAAATTACAATGGAACGGAAGCTTCTCCGGTAAAAATTTGAAATCTAACTTTTTGAAAACAAGAAAAAAACATCTCAGTCTTATGTTTCCACGGCATTTCTAAAATTTTAAATGAACACTAAAACCTCTGTGAGTCATCATTTCAGTTAAACTTTTCTTTCTAATCAGAACTCATTTATAAGGGTTAACTGTAAGTATTATTGGATATTTTCAGGATTTAACAGTGGGACAATGATGCTACATGCTGATTTATGCCTCCGTAAAGTTTTGAGTCCAATTAAGAAAAATGGGACTTCAGCATGCCCTTTCATTAAAAACTGCCAAGATCAGCCTGAGACTATCAAGTATGTGGAACTATTTGCAGAGAACATCACAGCGTGGGAGGAAAACTTCAAAGAAGCCTATACTAAAATGATAACCACTGGGTACACTAAATCGCAACTATATATACCAGTTTAGAATGAAATTGTTATGTAAGGCTGTAATCAAAATATGAATCCACAAAAATAATTTATCATTTGAAAAAATAAATATCTTGTTGTGAATATTTTTTCGTATGCATTTTTGGATCATTGACAAACTCCCTTTTAACAGATCTGCATATCATTAGTTGAGAGAGGATGACAAAAAAACTAGGATCAATAGAAAAGAAGTTTTTAAGAAAATCCAGTCAATGCTAAGGTGGTATTATGTTTTCTCAATGTTCATAAAATTAAGTATAGCATTAATGTTAGAATCGCAATGTACACAATTATAAAATTAGTATATTATATATGTAACTGTACAAGTAATATAAAAAATAATTGTTTATATGATATTTGGGCAGGGAAGAGGGAAAATACCAAACGTGTCTTGGTAAGATTTGATTAGAGAAGAGGTGTAAAATTGGCAAAAGGACAAGTAGTTTATGCTTATAAGGATAAAATGATTAAATGAACAAATGTTACCCTTATCAGAATGGGTAACATTCTTTTGGCCCACCCTGTATAAAATGGTGATTAAATAAAAAATAAAGAATACGAGTATTTATAAATACCTCAAGGAATACATCGAGCGCTGCTCCACCACACTGGCCATTATTAAGGGCTTCAAGTAAGGCACTTTCATCAACAATACCACCTCGAGCAACATTAATGATACGAACACCCTTTTTAGCAATGTTGAACACTTTCTCACTGATGAGATCTGAAAACAGAACACAGTAAAATTTCTAAAGAAGAATACCTCTGTAAGATGAGCACTTTCGTCAGTGGAACACTTTTTTAATTTTCGTTGAAATAAACTGAATGTAAAATGAACATCTGTAAGAATTAAGGTTCCACAGGTGTTCCAATTAAGGAGGATTACTTTGATTGCATGTTCTGATGTTTTCATCCCATCAGTTTTACAACAGTACAGAATCTAAATCCGACCAGATTATTTCACTTTACTTTTCTCTAATTTGAATAAAACGTCAGTATTTCCTGGTACAAGTATATCTATTCAGTTCAAAGTGTCAAGTAAACAAATATTTACTTGATTTATTGTCAATTCTATTCTTTTTCACTTAATTTCAAAATTCAGATGACCATCATAATTCTTACTCTTGGTAGGAGGAATGAGAGGCACATGCACCGTGACGTAATCTGCGAGAGGCCAGATCTTCTCCAACTCCATCCATTCTATCTTGAACTCAGCACTCTCCTCAGCAGAGACCAGAGGATCGTAACCTATAGTCTGAAATAATTCATGTTTATTGTAATCGCTAATCACCAGAAATGTTAGTTTTTAATTCTTTTCACATTTGAATTAACTACAGTTAAACCTGTCCACTCCGAACACCTTTGGGACTGGTCAAGTGTTCATATTTCAATGTTTTATAGAAGTGTACATCAATGGAAGATAACAGATATCCAGGAAAAGTGTTCACATCCACATCAGATCAGAGAGGTGTTCAGATATAAATGTATCACCGTATTTTGTAACCAAATAAACTGTCATCATATTTATTTGCTTAATGTCTGTGAAGTAAAAAAATGTTCAAATTCTTTAAAAGTGGAAAAATTGCAGTGAAAAGTTGCAGTATCACACAATCAATGTTTTTTCATAAATCAAAAACTTTTAAGCTTTCCAGGTTCATAATATAAAACATTGATATTTGAGTCATCCCATATCTGTTCCCCAGTATGTTGTACTTACAGTCATGCCAAATGACTGCATTCGACTTGCGACCTCTCGACCGATACGTCCGAGACCAATTATGGCCAGTGTCTTGCCATACAACTCTGAGCCCATGTACTTCTTGCGGTCCCAGCGCCCAGCTCTCATAGACTCTGTACCCTGGGGAATATGCCTGAAATAGGAATTGCAAAGAATATCAAGTGAGAAACTTTGTTGAGCATAGAAGTCTCAAAAATCGACTTATATTTAGAATGAAAGCAGAGTGTATTGCCATTTACAATTTTGAAACATATAAAATGAATGTAAATTTGCATAATAATTGATCTTTATTGTTATAGGCGATATCTTTCATGTGATCATTTTCATAAATTCGTCATACATGCAAAAATAGATAGGGCATGAACAACCCGGTTACAATTACAAAAGAGCAACCACTTGTCATGAAATACTGATACCAAATCAGAGTCACTGTATGTTTATATTTAATTCATTCTTAATGAGACACAAAAATACTTCACATAAATGGTTGACACTTTAAACAAGTGTCCCAATATAAGGTTTTCAGCAATATGTCAGAACCTCTTGAAGACACACGAGTAATTTAACCTCCTCCAGGGGTTTCACTAGAAATTTTCACAACAGGCTAAATAAAGGAAAACAACAGGCAAAATTAATGGAAATCATAAATTTAACATGAAAAAGTTGAAAAGCCCCTTTAAGCAACCAGCGATTTTGTGAAAACAAGGAGTGAAAATTGCCTGTTGCTAATGAAATCCCTGCTCCTCCCTGCTATTTCCCCCTCTAATATCCTACCTTGTCATCGCACACATCATTGCACAGGTATGTTCAGCAGCACTCATTGTGTTTCCCCCTGGTGTTAATGAAACCCCTGCTCCTCCCTGCTATTTCCCCCTCTAATATCCTACCTTGTCATCGCACACATCATTGCACAGGTGTGTTCTGCAGCACTCATTGTGTTTCCCCCTGGTGTTAGTGAAACCCCTGCTCCTCCCTGCTATTTCCCCCTCTAATATCCTACCTTGTCATCGCACACATCATTGCACAGGTATGTTCTGCAGCACTCATTGTGTTTCCCCCTGGTGTTAATGAAATCCCTGCTCCTCCCTGCTATTTCCCCCTCTAATATCCTACCTTGTCATCGCACACATCATTGCACAGGTATGTTCTGCAGCACTCATTGTGTTTCCCCCTGGTGTTAATGAAATCCCTGCTCCTCCCTGCTATTTCCCCCTCTAATATCCTACCTTGTCATCGCACACATCATTGCACAGGTATGTTCAGCAGCACTCATTGTGTTTCCCCCTGGTGTTTATGCAACCCCTGCTATTCCCCCCTCTAATATCCTACCTTGTCATCGCACACATCATTGCACAGGTATGTTCTGCAGCACTCATTGTGTTTCCCCCTGGTGTTAATGAAACCCCTGCTCCTCCGTGCTATTTCCCCCTCTAATATCCTACCTTGTCATCGCACACATCATTGCGCGGGTATGTTCTGCAGCACTCATTGTGTTTCCCCCTGGTGTTAATGAAACCCCTGCTCCTCCGTGCTATTTCCCCCTCTAATATCCTACCTTGTCATCGCACACATCATTGCACAGGTATGTTCTGCAGCACTCATTATGTTTCCCCCTGGTGTTAATGAAACCCCTGCTCCTCCGTACTATTTCCCCCTCTAATATCCTACCTTGTCATCGCACACATCATTGCACAGGTATGTTCTGCAGCACTCATTGTGTTTCCCCCTGGTGTTAATGAAACCCATGCTCCTCCCTGCTATTTCCCCCTCTAATATCCTACCTTGTCATCGCACACATCATTGCGCAGGTATGTTCTGCAGCACTCATTGTGTTTCCCCCTGGTGTTAATGAAACCCCTGCTCTTCCATGCTATTTCCCCTCTAATATCCTACCTTGTCATCGCACACATCATTGCACAGGTATGTTCTGCAGCACTCATTGTGTTTCCCCCTGGTGTTAATGAAACCCCTGCTCCTCCGTACTATTTCCCCCTCTAATATCCTACCTTGTCATCGCACACATCATTGCGCAGGTATGTTCTGCAGCACTCATTGTGTTTCCCCCTGGTGTTAATGAAACCCCTGCTCCTCCGTGCTATTTTCCCCTCTAATATCCTACCTTGTCATCGCACACATCATTGCACAGGTATGTTCTGCAGCACTCATTATGTTTCCCCCTGGTGTTAATGAAACCCCTGCTCCTCCGTACTATTTCCCCCTCTAATATCCTACCTTGTCATCGCACACATCATTGCGCAGGTATGTTCTGCAGCACTCATTGTGTTTCCCCCTGGTGTTAATGAAACCCATGCTCCTCCCTGCTATTCCCCCTCTAATATCCTACCTTGTCATCGCACACATCATTGCACAGGTATGTTCTGCAGCACTCATTGTGTTTCCCCCTGGTGTACTGGAAAATATAAATTAAATTAGAATTCAAATCTATTTAAGAGAAATATATAAAATGTTCCAAAATGTTACATATGTAGTTACAGCCATAAGGGAGCATGGCCATTTAGAGTTCAAATACACTACAATGAGAGCTTTCAGTTTGATATCCAAGGTTATAAATGAAAACTCATATTTTTATATACCAATGGTTAAAACCTGAAATCTAATCTGTTTTGATTCAAACTACAATAATTATCATTTAAATTGAAGATTGCTTCACATATTTATTTTCACTTATTATATTTTTTTACAGAATCTGGAAACTCAAATAAGTTTTATGATAGAAATCTGACCACCGACTCCAGGCTCCTGCCATATTTTGAAACTGAATTATTTTCTATGAAAAAATAATATGAAAAAGAAAAAGGTTCTACAACAAAAATTCAGTGATTTACTTCAGTGCTTACTTCATAACAATGACGCCTTTCCTTGTAGCAGCCTCACAGTCAATGTTGTCAACACCAGTCCCGGCACGTCCAATAATCTGAAGCCTCGAGCCTGCATTGATGATGTCAGCTGACACCTTGGTACCTGATCTTACAACAAGTCCATCAAATTCCTGCAAATATGGGCAAACAAGTATATTTTAACATGTATAAGGCAAACAAAAATGTAAATTTGTTTCACAATCTTATTTGGAGGTTTTATGGTAAGGGTTTATATCAATTTTCGACCTATTGCAATTGAAGAAAAAATTGAGAAAATTTGGAGGTATTGGAAATAAAGTCAAATTATGTTTCCATCAATATAGTATGAGTATTTTCATCGCAGGCTAGTAAATAAAAATTGAAAGGTAAAGAGGCTTTAACACATAGTTCAATGGGGGAGCTGAGGTCGCCAAAATTATGGAGGGTAGTGTAATCCAGTAAAAATGACGAAGGCCATGAAGCTATTTTGACAAAACTGATCCACTTTTTATGAAATATGTAACTGCTTGTTTTCTGTTAGTTAGGTTAACATGTTCATGAGTCACAAATCAAAATATAATCAACACAGTGATGTATAGATCATTGCCTTGATGATTTGCCATGGTAATAATGGCGGACTTTTGGTAACATAACTGGTTCAACTCCGATCCATAGAACAAAAGCACTTTGTGGGGGGGGGGCTTCTTACAAATCTAATTACTAACCCTGCTAGAAATGTTAGGTAGACTCTACCCACCTTGCCAACGTTTTTTCACATCTATTGCAAGACTTACGCCTGCCACAACCATCGCCATGTTAATCAGTGTTTTTAAGTAGCGCAAGGATCATGCCATGACCGTGGTAGTGTTATCGTGTAAGCCTGGTTTAACCGTGACAGGCTGGTATAACCGTGATGATGCTGTACTATATTGCAAGGCCTGTCAAGACCCTGGAAGTGTTATCGTGTAAGCCTGGCGCGACCGTAGCCTTTATTGTGGTTTATAAGCGAATGTGAATATTAATGTATAGTAGTAAAATTAATTTTGACATGATTAAGGTAGTTAAACACCATGATCATAGTATTAAATTGTTTAATTGTTATGACGATCACTTAAATTGTTAAGGATATTCCTGGCATTAATGTCATACATATTTACTAGTCATTGCAATACATTATAACAGTCATAGTAGGATTAAGTCTAAATTTCTACATTACCACCCTCATACCTGGCCTTGCAATACTATATTACATTGTCACGGTCATACCAGGCTTTGCGATCCCATAATACATTGTCACGGTCATGCCAGGTTTTGAAATACATATTGTCACGGTCACTTATAGCAATCATAAACTTCTACATTAGCACTCTCATACCCGAACTTGGAATACTATATCACATTGCCACGGCGGTCATACCAAGCCTTGCAATACTATATTACATTGTCACGGCCGTGCCAGGCCTTGCAGTACTATATTACATTGCCACGGTCATGCCAGGCTTTGCAATACACATTGTCACGGTTATAGCAGTCCTAATCGTAAATTTCTACATTACCACTTTCATACCTGAACTTACAATACTATATTACACGGTCATGCCAGGTCTTACAGAACTATATAACATTGTCATGGTCATGCCAGGCCTTGTAGTACTATATTACATTGTCACGGTCATGCCAAGCCTTGCAGAACTATATTACATTGTCACGGTCATGGCAGGCATTGCAATATAATACAGCATTGTCGCTGTTATACCAGGCTTTCACGATAACATTACCATGGTCATGGCAGGATCTTTGCGCTACTTAAAAACACTGAATAACATGGTGACGGTTACGCCAGGTGTTAGTCTTGCAACAGATAGGGTCTCCGTTTTTTACACAAAGTTACAAAACTTTTTCGCGCTGCGAAACAACAATTCAATGCGATGCATGACAATATTTGGCTGACAAGCATTATAATACATACACAGGCCTGTCAACTTTGGAACACCTAACATGAGTGACTTGGAAATGTTGAACACCTCCCCTCAAAATGTGGACACCTTGGTCCAAATCTGAACACCTTGATCCAAATTTTGAACACCTTGGTTTAAATTTCATTACATCTTGCCAAATTTTGAACACCTCAAATTTTTCGGGGGGGGGGGGGGTTAGGTACGGAAAATTTCAAACGGAATGCGTGACATATACGTAATTTGCGTGAAATGTCCGAACGAAATGCGTACATTTTTTTTCCGCCGTTCGTATTTTTGCTGTGTAGACGATCTTTTTTAGAAATTTTTCTACAGAAAATTTTTGCTTGACAATTACCAGGTAAAATGCGTATTTGCGTGACATTTTCTGTCACGCAGAAATAACTGGCGTGACTTCAAATTCTTCAGCAAATGCGTGACAAATACGCAAATTGCGGGACAGTTGACAGGCCTGCATACACAACCCAAATATATTTATCATAGATCAATTTTCTTATGAAATAGTATTTTATAGACAGAGATAAGCTAAAGCTCACCTTGATTTCATTCAAAAGTTGCCCTTTATTTTTTGCGAGGGCTGTGTTTTTCACAACTTCAATGCCATTTCTTTTTAAAATATCAATGCATTGCTGTGCTATCTCATCAGTTATCAACACTCTCCTTAGTGTGAGCACCATTGTGGCTATTGATGTTCTTTCCTGCGGTTAGTTTCGCTGTAAACAAGATTGGAATCAATTTTACGAACACGTTAATCTCTACTTCCGGTGCCGGTGCTTGAATTCTGCATCTGGCGTGTCACGGTAAAATCTAGGTATTTCCGGAAGAAAATATACGCATATTCAAAACAAAGAAGATTATGGCTTAAATTAGAGCTTAATTCTTGTATCTTTTAGCCATTGAGTAGCAGAAACAACATGGATAAAGTTGTGATCATAGTGTATATTTTTGCCGTTTTATTACCAGGTGAGAAACACGATTGTAAAGGTGATAGTGATTGAGCACAGGCCAAGGAAGTTCACCCCCACTCACTGTATACTGTATCATCTGTATGCATTGAGTGGTTGGTGGGGGGGTTGAACTCTTGTTCCTGGGTCTTTGTGATAGAGTCTCACTTTTTGCTAAGGCTTGACTCTTGATCTACTTGCATGTATTGTATAGACTGTATATGATTTACTCGAGTCTCTAGAGGTCTTTGCATCTGGAATACTGTGAACTCCAGAAAAAAAGCTGGCCGGAGTGTCATAGATTTATTGAATATTTTAAAAATCGCCAGATAAATAAATCATCAATTAAATCGGAACCGACTCAACTCCTTGATGAGATATGACATGATTTCGTCTAAAATTAAAACAAAATGGTTCCAAGAAAAATGGCGATATTCGAAAACTGGACGAAATGTCGTTAACGTCTGACATTAGTAACTGGCTGTAAATTCTAAGCGATCTAGAAGATGTGAACTAATACACTGATCACTTCATGTGTGTTTTTGGAATTTTTGGTGAGGTAATAAGACCAAAACTCGCAATTCAAATTGTGATGTGGAAAAATGGCGGACATATGATTTCAAATTTTATGATTACGACATGACCAATTGTTCATGCAGGAAATTATCTTTCCAGGAAGGCCACGATACAGTGGCCTTAGAAGAAGGTATTATATGATGATGAAGAACACAGGCACCAGTAACATTTTTTGCTACGTTGGAATCACTAAACGTCTTATTTTCAATGACATTGTGCTGCTGATAATCATTTGATAACTTCAAATTGTGATCTTGGTGCCAAAGTCGACCAATGGCTTGCCCGTAGCCAGCTTTTACCAGGGGGGGAGCTTTTTCACAATTATGGCTAAAAATCATGCGAAAAATTCTCAGAATGATGAAAAACTGCATGATTTTGAAAGAATTTCTGGCCAGGGGGGTGGGAGCTTCCACTCCCCCAGCTCCCCCTTTGGCTACGGGCATGAATGCTATATGGGTTTAGTAAATGATTTATAGTTGGTCATTATGATCCTGCACCCACCTTCAACATAATTTTCCGCCATGCCTGACTTAGCATTCTGCATTGTTTCCATGTCTTACAGCGGTTCCACAATTACCATAAGTGAGACATACGATTGCCTTAATAGTGATTATATCATGTCATTGTTGCTTTTTAAGCTGTCCATGCTAAAACCTCCGCACCTCCAACCATCCCACCAGGAGATGAGTGTGCCTTGTGGAAGAGTGTTACCAACAACTTAACCCATAACCCTGGGATATTAATGCACTGTATAGACTATAGCTCATGTAATGGCTTCGACTGTTCAGCTACATATCAATATAATGTGAGTAATTAGAGGATTTATGGTCATTTTTGTAAATATTTTAAAACATACTCCTGTCTGTCAACACTTGGCTCTTTTTAAATCCTCTGTAGATATGATTTCCATTTTAAAATATTTTTGTCCAACATCAATAAAGAAAAAAAACTGTGACTCCTGCTTCACAATTTCGTCTATTTTCAAAATGGCCACCATTTTTGTCTTGGGAAATTCACTTTTGGCCCATTTCCTAGCTTTACAAATAATTTCAGGTGTCCTGCATTGTAAAAAGCCATGTCTTTGTAAAGAGTAGTTGTATGAAATAATTTTTTTACAAAAAATCGGCAAAAAATTATTTTGTTTTTTTCTGTCATTCACTTTTGAGCAACACCATGTGAGCCCAGTACCCACGGTACTATTTATTGTATTAGCCAAGAAGGGGGAAAGTTATACATGAATACAGTCATTATTTTATGTACTAGACACTAATTTAACATTCATGCTATGTTGAAAACTAGAAAAAACATTTGTATTTTAAGAACAAACTTTGATTTTACGATAAAATTCATAACTACAGTTAGGAAAATCAAATTTTATTATTATACAGGGGGAACTCTTCATTCTTCATTTAAACCTTTGCTGGTCCATTTTTTTCATGTTATACCAAACTTTTTTCAATTTTTATGCATATCATTATCTTCTGAAGTATCATTAGATTTCTATTATTTTCTACTTTTAGGGTTACGTTACTAGTATGCAAGATTTCAAATTAAACTTCTGCTTTGGCCTGGTGCTCAACCAGTGTGATAATCCAACGAATATGGTTACAACTATCGAAGTGCCAGATAAGAATATCAATTTCACCCAAAAATATTATGACGATGAAACATATCAAATTCCAGGTAAATATAAAGAGACTTGGACCATGTTATGTACATTTTACATGTATTTGCCTCTTGTCACTAAGCCACTTGCTCTGAAGAAACCCATGATTTTACACAGGGTCAGATTTTTCATAAATGCATTTCATTTTATCTATTTTTTGCTTGTGATGAAAATTAAATTTTATTGTTACTAGCTAGAAGTTTTGCAGGAAGACAAATTGGTCAAAATTGAAAGTGACTGTTACTTTTTTGCTTGAATAAACCATCAGGAATAGAAAATCATTGCTTAGAATTACATTCAATTTTTCACAAAAATACGAGACAGTATGGCCAAAACTTGTTTTTCAAGAACCAGGCCTTGTTTTGGAAAAATGCTCAAGAGGGGCCTGTGGGGCCTGGGCCAAGATTAGCCATTGTTTAATCAAGTTAATTACTTTTTCATTTATTTTATTTTATTGTTCATTGTTTCATTGTTCTTTTCCAGGTGCAACATTTGATCTTGGTGTAGGGACTGCTGATACCTTTGTAGATGTAACTCTTGAGAAATCTGATGATGGAAAATTCATCACTATGGGGGTAACTATGTATTTTTGGCCAATAACATTGAGCCTAGGGGTTCAATTAGTCATCTGTCTATCCATTGGTCCATCCATCCGTTGGTCTGTCCATCCATTTGTCCATCTGTCCATTGTTCTGGCAATTCTTTAAAGAGAAGTATGATATATTTTATAGAACATTTATATTAGATTCATGTGCAAAGCATACCATTTTGAAAAATTAAAGGGAAAGTGCAACTAATACCTATGAGCAGCTTGAAGAACAAGGTGAAAGAACTATGAAAGATGAAATGAAGAAGGCCATGTGCAAAAGAGTTCAACATAACCCCAGATGATGAGAAAATTATATCACTGAACAGTGAACATACACTAATGTTAAAAAAATGCACTGCAATTATATGAAAATCTAGCTATATCAAATGATCAAAGAAAAGTTTTGTCAAAACAACACGAAAAGTAGAGATTCTATAAACAAATATATATATACAATTTGCTGTATAGAACTACCACATGATGCTTTTTTATGCTGCTATGGGGATAATGAAGCAATCTATAGCCAGGCCTGTAGCCAGGATTTGCCAAGGGGGGGTTCAGTTTTCAAAAATTTCCAGGGGGGTTCACATTTGACAATTTTGGCCCAAATATGGCTAAAATCACTTGAGAAGTGCTCAAAATGGTGAAAAACTGCATGATTTTGAAAGAATTTTTGGCCAGGGGGGGGGGTTCGCCCGAACCCTGCGAACCCCCCTGGCTACGAGCATGTATAGCTATTATGAATTATAGCTTCTTTCGACATTTACCCACTGATAAAAAATTTGCTTTACAGTTACTGCTGAAAGTGCGTGTCAAAGTCCCTATATTACCAGCACAGTGGCCCGATGAACTCAAGAGAGATGTTTTTCCCCCAACTACCATTCCAATACCCCCATGTAAAGGCAAAAAGGCACAAACGCCACCCCCAAGACACAATTGTGTTCCTCCAAAAGAACATTCTGGGGTCCACCCATCTTCACCAACAACTTCTGGTAAGAGTAATACTAAGATGCTCCCGCCAGTTTTTGGGCATACTAATAAAAAACTCAATTTATACGAGCTACCTGATTTGCTGCATATTAATTTTGTACCGAGCGCTCGATACAATGATTAAAACTGAAATTTTCTTTTTCTTTTGGAGAGGGTTATATGTGATGCGTAAATATTTCTTTCAGTTAAGTCATCTATCATTACGTGTGTCATTTTGTACTGTACATTATTTGTGTTATTGCATGTTATATAAAACAATTTCTTGAATGATTGTAATTTCTTCATTAAATTTTTTTTACAAAATAACCCATTAGCATTTTTAATGAATTCTGTTCATTCCGTTGCACAATTTAAAAAAAATCGGCTTTTGTAAATGAATTGATCAAACATTTTCTTCATTTTTTACTCTTTTAGCTCTCCGGCATTTATTGCGATAATGTAACCCATCAAATTTTTCGGGTAAAAGAGGAAAAATTCAACAAATTCACAAATATACCCAATCTTGTGTGCCTATTGTTTGTTCAGGTGCTTAGGTGCTTAAATGGAATTAAAAGCGGGCTAGTTAATCCAAAGTTCACTCTGCTTCTTTTAGTGATTCTAATATATGAGGGTTGGTTCATTTAGTGATTCTAATACATGAGGGGTGGTTCATTTAGTGATTCTAATACACGAGGGGTGGTTCATTTAGTGATTCTAATACATGAGGGGTGGTTCATTTAGTGATTCTAATACACGAGGGGTGGTTCATTTAGTGGTTCTAATACAAGAGGGGTGGTTCATTTAGTGGTTCTAATATATGAGGGGTGGTTCATTTAGTGATTCTAATACACGAGGGGTGGTTCATTTAGTGGTTCTAATACACAAGGGGTGGTTCATTTAGTGGTTCTAATACACGAGGGGTGGTTCATTTAGTGATTCTAATATATGAGGGGTGGTTCATTTAGTGATTCTAATATACGAGGGGTGGTTCATTTAGTGATTCTAATATACGAGGGGTGGTTTATTTAGTAGTTCTAATATATGAGGGGTGGTTTATTTAGTGATTCTAGTATATGAGGGTAGTCAAAATGTTTCACTTCCTAACTTTTGATCCAGCAGTAGTAAGAAAATACAAACATAACATTCAAACAATGAAAACAATTATCGGCTTTCATCAATGACCCAAATTGTCATAGAAGTGTAGAAAGAGGAGGGAAAGCCCCAGAGTTAAAAGATGACAGACATAATTACGTCTCTTGCTTACCACCTTCGTTTGTTTGAATTTTCATCGGCTAGTTATCAAATACTACACTTCGATGGGATGTTTTAATTGATATAGGCATATTCCGTACACCTTTCTTTATCTTAATGTGAAATGAGAAGCTATGATATTGGTTAACACGCCAGAAATTAACATAATATCATTCGAAGCGTATTTCGAAAATTTTGAACCGCCATGATGACGTCATTTGTTTGTCGACTTTTGACCAATCAGCGACTATGTCATCTCAATACAGATTTACATTATAAGCGTATGTCATCTTTGAATCCTGGGTGTTTCTCCCCCTCTGAAATGTAGATATAAATTCTTCTTAAAACAGATTTGCATATCTGGATATTGAGGTATTAATGTTAAGTGTATCCTTTGTCTGCTCTTGCACAAAACCTAACCTTGCACCCGCATCTATATCTGGATTTCTTTCCTATTTAGGCCCTCCAAAGGGCCATACAGAGGCTCCACCTACAGATAGACCCCCTGTGAAGCCTCCCACTGGAAGACCCCATAAACCAGTAACAACAAAACCACACACTCAACAGCCTCCAGTTATAGATGTAAAAGGTTTGTTAATGCTGATAGGAAACAAGTGTGCTTTTGTTTAAATTAATTTCTTTAATTAATTTTCGTATGGCATGCCTCTGCTTTTTGTTTTGTTGTCTTAAATATTAAGCTTGATAGCCTTGTCATTTCCTCTTCAGTTTTTGTCTTCATTTATGTACATTGTCTGTATGTGCTATCACTTTTAATTATCTTCCAAGAATACTGTGCAATATTTGAACTTCATCATGGCAAAATGATGATATTTTTTTCTTATTTTCCAAGCTTTTCTGATTTAATTGAACAAGTATCAAATTGTCATTTTGAATTATCATTAATTTTAATAATCCAATTTGACTGAGCAATGAAAGGCTAATCCTATAATTCTGATGGAATTTGTAGAAACAGACGATGAAAAAAGTTATGGCTTACGGGGTTAGGGTTTTCCCATAATGGGGCTTGACTATTGTGTTTCAAGCCCCAGGTTTCAAGCCTAATAGGTGCTCGGCAACAATGCATACTGTATTTATGCTTTTTGAGTTTAATAAAACAAATAAAAATGATTTTTTTTGTTTTTGTATCATAGGGAAAAAATGTACATCGAGTGTAGATTCCGGAATAATTGGACAGTGTGGGGATAACGGGAAGTGTAGCAACGGAATATGTGGATGTATGGATGGATATGCCTTTAATGCCATAACACACTCCTGCACAGCTCAAGGTAAAAATACTTCTTAGAGCAAAAAACTCTCAGTGTAAATATATTTGGTAATATGCAACTGATTGATATATGACACTTGTCCCTCGGAATAAAACCCATATCTAATCCCTCCCAGTAAATAACATATATTTATAATATTATAATCTCCAAACTTTCTACCTTATTATTTGAGGTGCTGATTTCCATTTGACTCTGTTTTTCATTATATCCCAGGGGGTTCACTCTAAATAATATGGATAGGTATATGCAGCATGGGCAATTTTGGCTTTGGGCATCAACCGTGGAAACTGGCCAAAAAACTGGAAAAACATGCAAATATTGTCAAAGAGTACTATTTTTATGTCAAATATCAGTTTTTATTCAACAAAAGAATGGTGTTAAATTGTTTCAACCAGCTGCCGATGCCTGAGACAAATCTTGAGAGGAAATTGACATGGAAAAATGCTCAAAAAGGGGTTACCTAGGTTTTAAGGGTATATTGGAGTGAAATCCCCGCACCACATGATAATTATCTAAATTATACAATGTGCAGAAAACATAAATATTTTATATTCTGTAACCCCCTTTTACCCCCTTTCCCTGAACAAAATTAACCCACCCTCTATAGGATAAAAATTTTAAGGCTTTTACAATTGTTTTTATTAATTTAAAATACTCATTTGACAATCACTTTAAGAAGCAGTGTTATCACTAATTCATGCAATAAAAAAATCAACATGTGTTTTTATCACACTTTAAAAAGTGCTTTATTTTTAATTCGAAAAAGTTATGAAATACATGTACATGTAGTTGTAATAATAATATTCTTATCTGTATTACAGTTAACAAATTGCTAGGAGCAGGTTGTGAGCTGAGTCTGCCAGAATGTGGTTATAATGCTATTTGCAAGAGGAAGTCCCAATCATCGCATAGTAGAGGTGGTGTGTGTGCATGTGATGTCAGTAATCACTTCATTAAGACTTCAGTAAATGGAGGAAGTGCTTGTGTGCCAGGTGAGGATGAAGTTTGTACATGATTTGATTCAGAGCTTCGTTTCAGCTAGAAAGTCTTGATAAAATAGCGACATACACTGGGATATTTAACATTTTTGTATTACTGAAGAAGGTATCTAATTCACCTATTATCACGCCCGGTGATCGTACAAATGGGATGGAGGGGGGATTAGACGATTTCTGCTAGAAAACTTTTTTAAGAGAAAATATACAACTGAATTGCCAAATGAATAGGCGCAGTGCATGGCAAAATATGTTAGGTCATCTAGTATTTTTTTTAACTAATACCCTTCTAAGATATGAGATCTATTAAGAAAGGCGCATCATCACCAACGTGCAAAAGTCAATGTTTTTGCTATAAATCGGGCAACAATGGTCTACACGACCTGTAATAAATAGGTATAAGGGACGTTATTATCACAATACTAATGACATTGCTCACTTTTTAAAGTTAGTTTCTAAGCGTTATACAAAAAATAATCGAAATGAATTAATATCGGATGGAGGGGGGGATTGGATGGAGGGGGGATCATGTGTATATATTAAGACATGATAAGACATGCTACTTGAATTTATTCTTATGACTCCAAATTTTCCCATTTTTCATTCTCCAGAGATATAATATCCAGGGGTCATTAACAGAACCCCTTGCAAAGTTACGAATTTGCAAGTCAATTGTTAATTTTACGAATTTGGTAAATGTGCATTAATAGAACTTTCGTAAAGTTACGAATGATTCGCAGTTACGAAAAAATGACGTCACGTATGCTTTCGTTCATAACTTTAATAGCACCTCAGACCCTTTCATAACTTTGCGAATGGCATATTTCTCATCCAGTGCTTATGTAAAGTATACAGGTTGGCAAAAAGAAATTGTTCTTTATATGCATGCTAAGTTTCAAGCTAAAATATGCACCTATTCTTACATGATAAGCAAATTTGTTCCTGAGCTGGGAATCTTTGAAAGTGCGGAGACAGGTTTAATCACAGCGCGCAATGATATCAAATGACATCATATTTCTATTTGTGCTAAATAATGATATAAGATGACGTCACAAGTTGAAATTCGTTTACGAACGATAAAACTTATGAATGACTTACGAAAGTGTTCTGTTAATGGCCAATTCGTAACTTTACGAATTTGTAAGTCATTATTAACTTTTTAAATATTTACGAATTTGATAAAGTTACGAATTATGAATTCGTAACTTTGGAAAGTTCTGTTAATGACCCCCTGTTTCTTACTGGGGTACTGAGTTTTTTTAAAAAAAATACATGAGTTCTTGTGAGTTTGCTCCATCCTAAAGACATATAAATCCCCCCCTCCATCCGATCCCCCCCCCCTCCATCCGATATTAATTTATTTAGATTATTTTTTGTATAACGCTTAGAAACTAACTTCAAAAAGTGAGCAATGTCATTAGTATTGTGATAATAATAACGTCCCTTATACCTATTTATTACAGGTCGTGTAGACCATTGTTGCCCGATTTATAGCAAAAACATTGACTTTTGCACGTTGGTGATGATGCGCCTTTCTTAATAGATCTCATATCTTAGAAGGGTATCAGTTCAAAAAAAATACTAGATGACCTAACATATTTTGCCATGCACTGCGCCTATTCATTTGGCAATTCAGGTGTAAATTTTCTAAGGAGGAGGGAAAGTAGCGTAACAGATTCCGGAGAGTCATATGTTAGATTTTGGCTATTTTCTGAGGATTTAAACAGGTGCATATGTTAGGCCAATGCATTATCTCCGGGAAAAGCACTCATACAGATGGTGAAATAATTTTGACTTTGAGACAGGGAAGATGCAAATAACCCACCCACATGTTTTTTCTAAAATGTTGTCCTGATTTTCAACCTCTTCCACCCCTGCTTTTTCAATTTTTGTTGCATCAAAATGTTGCATTTTAAGACACAATAAAACCCTTTAAAGGAATAAGTAACTCCTCTTTGATAAAGTGGAAAACAATATTCCCCATGTTATTTTCCCATAGGGAAAACTCGTGTGATCCATTGCTTTCAGCTAATTTTGGTTATCCATAATGGCTATTTTTAAAACCCCTGAAGGAGTCACTTATTCTCCCGAAGGCTTTAATTGTGTGTCAAAATGCAACATATTGATGCAAAAGAAATTGAAAAAGCAGGGGTGGAGGGGGTCGAAAATCAGGAAAACATTTCAGAAAAACATGTGGGTGGGTTGTTTGCATCTCCCCTGTCTCAAAGTCAAAATTATTTCACCATCTCTATGAGTGCTTTTCCTGGAGATAATGCATTGGCCTAACATATGCACCTGTTTAAATCCTTGTTCTTCATTTTCAAATAAATGTTCCCATTTAGGTGATGCCACAGAAACAACAAAGGCCCCTGCAGGCATTCCAGTCACTCCACAAGGAAAAGTGGACCATGGGAAAGATGCTTCTGACACCCCATCTACTTCAAGTATGTTTTGATACATTTTATCTCTTAAATTTACTTTAAGGGACATTCCTGGCCAGATCATTTCTATCCTGATATGATAGCTATAGTCATATAATTACTTTCCATGTTTGATCATTTAAAAATGTAGTGCTCATTTCCAGTAAGCTGCCATTTTTTATTATTATTATTAGCTCACATGGTGAGCTTTTGCAATCACTCACTTGTCCGTCTGTCTGTCTGTCCGTCTGTCTGTCTGTCCGTCAACAATAGTGGCACGTTTTAAAACCTCTGTCGATAGGATTCCTGTTTTAAGTTATTTCTGTTCAACATCAATACAGAAAACCCCCCTATGACTCCTGGTTCAAAGGTCGCCTATTTTCAAAATGGCCGTCACTTTTGTCTCGCGAAATTCACTTTTAGCCCATTTCCTAGCAAACCTCTGTCGATAGGATTCCTGTTTTAAGTTATTTCTGTTCAACATCAATACAGAAAAAACCCCTATGACTCCTGGTTCAAAAGCTCGGCTATTTTCAAAATGGCCGTCACTTTTGTCTCGCGAAATTCACTTTTGGCCCATTTCCTAGCTTTACAAATAATTTCAGGTGTCCTACATTGTAAAAATCCATGTCAATGTAAAGATTAGATATATGAAATAATTTTGTTACAAAAAATCAGCGAAAAATTGTATCCATTTTTTTATTTTCAGCCATTTTAGTTAACATTGATTTGTCTATCTGACTCGCGAAATCCACTTTCTGTCAATAACAGTGGCACGTTTTAAAACCTCTGTCGATGGGATTCCTGTTTTAAGTTATTTCTGTTCAACATGAATTCAGAAAACTCCCCTATGACTCCTGGTTCAAAAGCTCGCCTATTTTCAAAATGGCCGCCATTTTTGTCTCGCGAAATTCACTTTTGACCCATTTCCTAGCTTTACAAATAATTTCAAGTGTCCTACATTGTAGAAATCCATTGCAAAGTAAAGAGTAGATGTATGAAATAATTTTGTTACAAAAAATCAGCGAAAAATTATATCCATTTATTTATTTTCAGCCATTTTAGTTAACATTGATTTGTCCATCTGTCTCGCAAAATTCACTTTTGGACCATTTACCTTAAACCCTCTGTCGATAGGATTCCCATTTTAAGTTATTTTTGTTCAACATCAATACAAAAAACTCTCCTATGACTCTTGGTTCAAAAGCTCGGCTATTTTCAAAATGGCCGTCACTTTTGTCTCGCGAAATTCACTTTTGACCCATTTCCTAGCTTTACAAATAATTTCAGGTGTCTTACATTGTAAAAATCCATGTCAATGTAAAGGGTAGATATATGAAATAATTTTGTTACAAAAAATCAGCGAAAAATTGTATCCATTTTTTTATTTTCAGCCATTTTAGTTAACATTGATTTGTCCATCTGTCTCGCAAAATCCACTTTTGGACCATTTACCTTAAACCCTCTGTCGATAGGATTCCCATTTTAAGTTAATTTTGTTCAACATCAATACAAAAAACTCTCCTATGACTCTTGGTTCAAAAGCTCGCCTATTTTCAAAATGGTTGCCATCCTTGTTTCGCGAAGGTAGTTGTATGAAATAATTTTGTTACAAAAAATCGGCAAAATATTATATCCGTTTTTTTTATTTTCAGCCATTTTAGTTAACATTGATTTGTCCATCTGTCTCGCGAAATCCTCTTTTGGACCATTTGCTTATAACCTCTGTCAATAGGATTCCAGTTTCAAGTTATTTTTGTTCAACATCAATACAAAAAACTCGCCTATGACTCCTGGTTCAAAAGCTTGCCTGATTTCAAAATGGTCGCCATTTTTGTCTCGCGAAATTCAATTTTGGCCCATTTCCTAGCTTTACAAATAATTTCAGGTGTCTTGCATTGCAAAAAGCCATGTCACTGTAAAGAGTAGTTGTATGAAATAATTTTGTTACAAATTATTGGCAAAAAATTATATCCGTTTTTTTTTTCAGCCATTTTAATTGACTGAGGGACAGATGGCTTGAAATAATTTTGTAATAAAAAATCAGCAAAAAATTATATCCGTTTTTTTCTGTCACCATGTGAGCCCAGTACCCACGGTACTAATTTTTTAAGAGTTAACTCAGGAAGTAATGTCATCGACTCTCAACTTTCATAACCTTGCCTATAACAGCAAAATCACTTCTAGACAAGTGGTCCTTACCTTATCATCCTCCTAGGCAGGTGTCCAGAATCCATACCTCCTTCTTCCCCCCTGCTATAAGCAATTTGGAAGCGCCTGATTAAACTGAATCACGTGATTTAATTATGCGCCGATGGCGTATACATGATTGCTGTCGCAGTGTTGCGACAGCGAATCAAATTGCGAGTTCTTAATCGGGGAAATGCTAACTGCTTATCGCAGGGGATAAAAAGAAGATATTCTGGATTTTGAAGCCCTGTGATTAGAATAAAAGTAGAGACTATTCATGCTATTAAAAGGATTAAATCATAGACCGAATTGAAAAAGAATATTCAGCTGGTTTTGTAACTCTTAATAGCTCCTTACTTAACCCTATGTGCAAAGTTGACAGTCAATGACATCACTTCCCGAGTGAAATCTTAAACGATGGCAGCCTACTGGAATTGAGCACTACATTTTTATGTGATCTATTGTCTATATCAAAACATTGCTCTGTGTTTTGCTAAACATGTCAAGTATATTATATGGTTATAGCCACCATATTAGGAGAGAGATGGTCTGGCAAGTAATTTCCTTCGGCTTTAAATTAAAAGTCATTATGCTGTTGTGCAACTTGGTCCCCTTTGAGTTATCATTAATTAAACAATAGTGTGTGAATCTGTATTCCAGACACAGTTGCTATAGCAGCGAGTGTTGGCTCCATTGGGTTTGTACTCTTAGTGGCAGGCCTAGTTGGTGCTGCCATCTTTATACGACGTCGACGACTGAGGTATCGAGATCATGATGTCCTGCTAACAACAGGAGACGAAGGAGATGATGAGCCCATATAGAAGGCACATGAAGGAAATAATTTTCAAACTAGAGACTGTTACCAACATGAAGGATTATAAAGAATTTTTAGCCCAACGGGAGAATTTCCTAATCTATAAATTATGTGTAATTAATTTTGCCTCAAAAGTTGAGGAATTATCTCAAACGTCTGAAAAGAAATATTTTGGGAAAAAATATTTTGTACAAACACAGCTAGAGAATTCACATTCTCCAAACTATATCAGCTGATGAAAGATTTGTTCATATTTACTTATATATTTGGGGGAATTATCTCATACTACTACTAGGATGACTTGGCAGAATCCTTGCAGATGCATGTATACAGCTATAAAAATTTGGTATTTTAAAATAGAAATATTGCTTTTTTGTGAAATGCTGAATGCATTTGAAACATGAACTTGCCATTGGGGATAGAGATTTATGTATTATATATGTTATAGTATATATATACACTAGTAAATGAATCCAAGATATATGTATATATTATATCTGCTTAAAGGTTTCCTGAAACAGTGTATAAAGTTATACTAAAGGAAGAAAATTATTTTCATTTAGGTGTGTTACTGTACAGTTTATTATAGCACATGTTGTATTTGACATGACGACGTGTTTCTAGATGTAATTTTATTTGAATTCAAATTGAATCAAATAATGACAGATCTGAGAGTGAGATAAAAACTGTTTTGATCAAAATAGAACCAAGCAATTGATGTTGTTTGAATATTAGCAGTGCATAAGTGAACGAAGCTAAAACGGATGATCTAAAAACTAGAATTAGATTCAAAGTCAAATTTGGAGTGTAAAGTACAACCTATCATGTTGAACACCAATAAAACTTATTCCTTTGCCACATTTTTGTGGCTACATAGAACAAATGAATGGAAAGGAGCATGTAGGTTATTGCAAACAATTTCAAATGATTCTAACTTGAATTATGAATATTTTCTGATCATGAACATGGGTGTATCTTTTAGATCCATTCATTATCTTCAAGAAAAGTGTATATATTGATAATTTACTCACCAAGTTTGTTTGACTTTATTATTACTGTATATAATTTTCTTTGAGATAATGAATTGATCTTAAAGATAAACCTGTCTTCATTGTCAGAAAATAGTCATAATCCAAGATATAACCTTCTGAAATTGTTTGCCATAACCTACGTGCTCCTTTAAGATTACTACGCAAATACGAAACTGAACAAAACTCTATATATTTTGATATTATATAACTTAGGTTTAACCACACTGGTGCATAAACAATGTTAAACGTGTCCCATTGTCTCCTGAAGGAGTGTTAACCCAGGAATATTCTGGTAGATTATCTATTTTCAGTGTAGGTGATTGCCGGTATGTATCACTCTACACAAAAGTGTATATTAGTGGTAAAGATTGGATTAGATCAAGTGGATTGGATTCTTGTAAAAGGTGGATTGGATCAAGTGGATTGGATTCTTGTAAATGTGGATTGGATTCTTGTAAAAGTTTGATTTGATTGGGATAGTCAAACGCAAATGAATTTACATGTATGCACTATCTGTTCAGCATAATCGATCTTTAAATTATGGAAATTCCATATTTTGCAGAATCCCAATCCAATCCACCTTTTGCATGAATTCAATGCTCTCAATCCAATCCACCTTTTAATCCTTACCATATTATTAGTATTATGTACCCAGGAACATGTATAACCAAGTGCAGTATTGTATATAAGCTTTTCACACTCTTACATGTTTAAATGCTTGGATGGTCATATTTGATGAGTAGGACACTAGTTTCCTATATAATTCTTTCTTTTAACATGCTTACTCTACAAAAAAAAATTCTAAAATAAAGATCTTGTTTTTCTGTACACTTATTGTCTACTTTTTACAATTTGTTACATGACAATTTTTGGGCTATTTGTCTTGTTTTAGAGACTTCAGTTGAGGTTGATATACATGTAGCCTATATTATGAATTCATCAAATATGTCCATCATGGAGTAATGATTGTTAAGGGAGTTCAATATTGGTAGTTAGTACCAAGAAATTTAAAGTGCCATGTTAAAAGGCATATTCTGTAAAAAAAGTTGTTGCATGTTATTATACATTCAATTTATTTTCAAATATTCTCATTGTTGATTTATACAAGTTTATATGTAGATCTGATATTACTTGAAACATTTTAGTTTATGCCTCAGATTTTCATCTTCCTACTTGAAGTTTTATGAGAATGCCATATACTGAGTAAGGGGATGTGGCATTAGAGGATGTCATATTTAAGGTCTGGTTTGAACTCTGAATCACTTATGTCTCAAAGAGATATCTTTATGAGGCACATCTGAGTCTCTTTCGAATTCCAAGTACTGTTTTTTTTAGAGTTCAATATTGTTAAGAAAAACTATAAAGCCATAGATCAGGAGTTTGTATATCATGCAATAAAATGGTTGTTACTCTTAATGATCATGAGTTGCACTTTCACGAACAAGAAGTGAACTGTGTTCTGGTTAATTTTTCATGGTTGATGGGCCAAAAATGCAAAAGGGAAAGTAAATGAAAATCAAGATGGAAATTTCATTATTTATTGAGTTAAATAACCATGGAACGTTAAAATTCTCAAAAAAGTAAGGGAGTCAAATTTTGAAAGGTGAAAGTACCACAAACTGAAAATATACGTGAAATAAGAATAAGAAAACTAAGTGTACAAACTAAAATTCTTAACATGTAGTCAGTGAACATGTAAATTGTCCTTTTACTTTTTCTATAATAAAACATGTACTTGGTTGGGGGAATATTTGCTTGAACCAGTAAAAAGTGCATTACTGTTTTCCCTACTGCTTTGACCTGTAACGCATGAAACAATGATGAAATATTTTATTGGATTTTGCAGAGGCTCCAAACAACCATAACTTGCCTCTGAAATAGATAAGACAAGGTTTTCATAGGCCAACTTATATGCAGTAAGTTAGCCTACCATTACACATTTTAAATTGGAATGTAAATTAATGTACATTCATTTTAGATAGATGGGCAACTGTCTCACTAAAATTTCACAAAATAAATGATGTATTTTTACAAGATTTGTACTAAATTGTGTAACGGTATTAAAAGTATGTTCCATAAAAATAAAGATGTTGCCTCTTTTGCTTCACCACATAAAGCACTGTTCATGGAATTTGGATCCTGCCTACGCCCCTGGGATAACACACAACTTTACACATGTATATGCTTTAATGAAGTTTTCTTGATTGCTTATCTGTTTTGATGTTATTAACACCTGTGAAATGGCATATTGATAATTTTTGGGAAATGCAATGGAATATACCTTATTTGTTACTTAATATGTTTCAGTAAATAAAGATTATTTTTAAAATAGAGATATCTATATTATAAAATTGTTTTGTTTTAAAACATCTTACGAATACATCCATATCACATAAGAATCTATAAATGGGGGCTTTGTTAAAACATCAAAGGATCAAAACTATCAATCAATTGTTCTCTACTCTTGTTGGTGAATGCAAATTTTTACGCTTGATTGTTTTTTCCAAAACGAATATACCACCATACTAAGTAACTGGATGATGATGTAATTTTTTCTTTTTATCAATGGTATATTTAATTGTTCAATTTTGACAATTTCAGTCAATGTAAAATATTAATAATGTTAAAAACAATCCAGCGAAATGAATTTGGACAGGAAACCAAAATACACAACGGTAATTATTCTAAGTATATGTCTAGTAAATCTATAACAAGGCATTGGCATGGAAAATGTCCCCACCTGCCATTTGTTACAGACACTGACCGCTGAAGGCCAACCACTGAACACCAACCGCCAAATGCTGAACACTGTCCACAAAAAGACCATAACAATTCAATATGTCACCACTTCATAAGCTATTAGTTTTTTAGCTATCCATATTCATAGCACTTATACTATTTCAATTATATGTTAATATGTACATTATATTACACCAGGCTGTGTCATCAATTCTGAAAGTACAAATGCCAAGTTTATGGCTGGACTAATACTATACATATTCTGAAAATGGTATTTTTAATGCTTATACAGAAACCACTGGGTGGCTAGGCCTACCCCTTTAGTTGTATGCGATAATTTTGTAAAAAGAAATCAGCAGTCTTTTATGTCAAAATATTGCAAGCCATGAAGTCCTGGCTCACACTATTAAACATACTTATAATCTGAGTTTGTAATTAGCATGGGTTAATGAAAATTGTGAAATAATTTGATTTATGAACTGAATGAAGTTAAAAGCATTGAAAAGGAGTTTGAAATTGTTCAAGTCAGTAAAGCTTAAGCTTGTTTTGCTTAAAATGACATATAAAATTGGACAGGTCCTTTAAGTTTTATTTAGGCCAGTGCCCAATGCTGACCTTTAGTTAATTAAGCTTACAATATGCAGTTTTATTCATGCTTGAATTTACATGCACTTGCAGTATACCAATTAGCTAATATGTAGTTATATAGGTAGTTCGCGATGAAGGCATCAGAACAAAGGCACAGAATTATGTTAGAACTTCAGTTAGACCAGCTAGAGCCAGCAAACAGTCAGCAGCATTGCAAAAACCCACCTACCAAGCCCCTATCACCTCATCAGGTTTAGTATGAAATAACAACTGACCAGCAATTAATGTGAGTATGTTAAGAATTTACCATTAACATGACTTACTTTAAGGAATAAGCTATTATAGGCTAATTAAAGTTGCCTAATTAGCTTAATTAGGTGGATTTGCTTAATTAGCTAATCCAATTATATTTCTTCATTCACTGCTTTTGCGGCACCTTTGCAGACTCCTTTCGCCAAAAATAGTAATATTTGAATGAAGCAGAATAAAAATAAAAATCTATTTTTAAGTCTCCCATGTATGCCAGGCTTATGGAGCTAGTTACAATTCAGGCAGTAGCTCATGTGGTTACAGTTCAGGCAGTAGCTCAGGTTGTTACAGTTCAGGCAGTAGCTCATGTGGTTTCAGTTCAGGTAGTAGCTCAGGTTGTTACAGTTCAGGCAGTAGCTCATGTGGTTTCAGTTCAGGTAGTAGCCCAGGTGATTACAGTTCAGGCAGTAGCTCAGGCTGTTACAGTTCAGGCAGTAGCTCAGGTGGTTACAGTTCAGGCAGTTCCAGCTAATCAATTAAGGTTCCAGTTCTGGCAGCTAAATCTCAAACCTACACCCCAAAGATATCACTAAAGGCTGCCAGTGCCTATGTGTTCTATTGTAAAAATTGGAAACTATTGAAACCAGAACAACGGCAACACCAAAGCGTAGCGAATCCCATCGAACAGAAATGGCTGGCATTTTTATAAACGAAGCGCAAATATCATAAAACAACACACCAGAAAGGCCACCATTTTCAAAATGGTTGCTCACTAGCCAAGTCATCAGAAGAAATAATATGCTTTTAAGTAGCCACCTCTAAAATTTTTGAAAAATCGCACACGTACTTGTGTAAAATGACACACATAAAAATGGTGGCCATTTTTCAAAATGGCTGACTACTCCCCAAAGTTTTATTAGACAATGTGCCATGCTTAAAGTATTCACATATCAAATATGAACAAAATCGCTCCACTACTTTTCGAGTTATAGTAAAATACGTTAAAATGGTGGCCATTTTTCAAAATGGCCACCTTCTACCAAAAGCGTCATTAGAAATAGACAGTGTGCCATGCTTATAGTATTCACATACCAAATATGAACAAAATCGCTCCACTACTTTTCGAGTTATAGTAAAATACGTTAAAATGGCAGCCATTTTTCAAAATTGTTTTCAAAATGGCCGCCTTCTACCAAAAGTGTCATACGACAGTGTGCCATGCTTATAGTATTCACATACCAAATATGAACAAAATTGCTCCACTACTTTTTGAGTTATAGTAAAATACGTTAAAATGGTGGCCATTTTTCAAAATGGCCGCCTTCTACCAAAAGTGTCTTTAGACAGTGTGACATGCTTATAGTACTCACATACCAAATATGAACAAAATCGCTCCACTATTTTTTGAGTTACAGCAAAAATCGTAAAATGACGAGTAAAGGCCGCCATTTTTCAAGATGGCTGCCATGTGCTTCTTTAATATCTACATTTGTAGCATTATTAATGTCCTTTATAATTTTTTTACATTTAAAACATATTGCTATTACAGTTTTACATATTGCACCTAAATTATTGTAAAATCGGCACTAAAATGGCTGCCATTTTGAAATGAGCGGCCATTTTGAAAATCAGCTTTCGAGCAGAACTTCTATACCCGTAGGGTATATGTGTACAAAATATGAACAAAATCGGGCCAACAGTATTTGAGTTATTGCCCGGACGGACGGACAGACGGACGGATGGACGTACGTACGGACGGACGGATGGACGTACGTACGGACGGACGGACGGACGGATGGACGTACGTACGGACGGATGGACGTACGTACGGACGGACGGACGGACGGATGGACGTACGTACGGACGGACGGACGGACGTACGTACGGATGGACGGAGGTGTTCCCTATATCCCTCCGAACTTCGTTCGATGGGATAACAATAATTTGAAGAGCACACATGAATGAATAAAGCTTGTTTAAAATACACAGGGTTTTATTATGGAATACAGAATATGTAAAATTCAAAGTAGTTCCAAACATTTAAAATTTTACTGTGCTGAAGCTATATCACATAAAATTTTTGGGCATAGTTTTCCTTTATTTATTAAGTAATCATCTCTTTCCCACTTTATCTACAATTGATTTCCATAGTTTCTCTCAGATCTGCATGAGAATATTTCTAAGATTCTTTGGTCATTTATGTTCATTTATCTGATACTGTGAAGGTACCACTACTTGTAGGGGTATGTCTGTTTTCTGGGGCATTAACTGTATATCTGTATTGAGGAACTGAAACTTTATCTGCAGTTGAATTGATTGCGTTTTTGATGTCAATTGCACTAATTGATTGCTTGATGTCATGTGCACCATTTGTGTGCTTGATGTCATGTTCACCATCTGATGAATTGGCTGTGTGAATTGCACAAAATGATTCTGAAACCTCCATTTCAATGACTGTCCCATCTTTGGCAGAGATTGGTGTACATTCTATGGCACTTGTCTCAGGCGAGACTTCACCATGCCTGCTTTTCTCTAAATTGATTGCAACTGGCCGAGAATGACTGTTAATATCCTTTGGTATGTGTTTTATATTGATGCTACTGCCTCTCTTGGACTTTGCATGTTTGATCAGAGACTTGTATCTGGACCCAAGCTTTGTACCAACATCATCATGGTAATTATGGCGGCACATTTTTTCCTTGCTATGCTTCATCGTTTCTTTCCAATGTTGAAATTCACGCAAAAGACCATCAAACTTTTTATTTTGTTCATCAAATCGTCGTTCATGCTGCTCTAATTTTGAATTTGCCTCTATGAGTTGTTTCTGCTGATGCGCCATTTTGTTTTTGCACGATTTTATATCTTTCTTCAGGACGACAATCTCCGCCGAGCATGTTCGTAACTTCTGTCTCATTTTGTTGTATTTCTCGGGGGATGGGGGACTAGCCTGGGGGGAGAAGTCAATTGGTGAGAGGACTGGTTTCTGTGGGGTGGGGGCATCCTTCATCTGCCAGCGGTATGTCTTTGTGGCTGGTGCTGAAATTAAGGAAGCATGTATAATTATTTCTGACAATACCAATACAGTGCAGCACTATATGTTGGTTCCTATTATATGTCTTATTATGTTCATTTGATCTTCGACTGCTGTACAGTAGCCGTAGCTTCACAAAAATGATACAGAAAATCTACATCATACTGTTTATCCCTATATTTTATGCTGGATATTTCTCTCGATTTTGAGAAGCTACGGCAGCCATATCAGGGGTGGATCTGGGAACCAACAAGGGGGGGGGCCCAAACTTCTGGTCTGAGAAAAAAACTTTTGGGCCCCTAAAACCAAAATTTTGAGGCCCATTTTCTTCAAAATTTGGCCTAAAATTAAAACATAAGGCCTTAGAAGGCCCATTTATGACCCAAAAGGCCCACTTTTTGGGGCCTTGACGCCTATTTTGGCTCAAAAATTTTTTTGAGCCCAATTTTTTTTTCAGGGCCCCCCCCCCAGATCCGCCAGTGGCCATATGGTTGGTGTAGATTAAATGTGAATGAGGCATTATTGATCTAACTAATAAGCTTTAAATCATATAATAGTATACTTACAAGCAAGAGTCGCAAGATCAGGGAACTCAGTGGCAAAGTAATTGATCTCAGGAAGAGTTGGCTCAACATGTTCCTTGAAGTATTCCATCGCCATAGAGGAGAGATCAAACAGTTCATCTGTCACCTTGTAGGCTCGGCCAAGACTTGGGGTAGACTTGATGTAGCGTAGAATACGATATATCTCATCTAGGATCTAAAATTTTAATATGATTAATTTGTATTCTATATTTTCAAGTATTGTACAATAAATACAATTTTGATTCTTTGATATCATGGTATCATAGCCTATAAAATGCAATACAACAAATGAAACTTGGGACCCATATATATAAGAATTCATGGAGAAGAAAGTGCTCTCTAATCAAAAATCTTGATCAAAATATTTCAACCAAAACTGTTTCAAGATAACTTACCAATGTAACCTTGTACTAAGTAGGAATGCTAATCTGGGTAAGACATAAGTGTAACCTAATTGTTTAAACATAATATACTGAAATAAAACTCTTAATAAAATTTCGGACACAATAAATCCTATATATTTTGAACAAGTTGGACAACTTATAGATGAAAATGAATAACATTTTATTGATATTCATTAATAATTTTTTCACCTCCCCAGGAAAGAAGCAGCAGTGTTTTCTTTCGATGTGTTTCCCAAATGTCATTTGGAGTAGGGTCAACCTCATATGTATTGTCTCTATGATGTCACTTTCACGCGCCAGGGGGTGCTTACGACGCAGAGACTCACGACGTGGCATCTTCGCCTTAATTGCTTGGAATCGCTGGGTCAGCTGCTGTTGTAACCGCAAGAAAGTTTGATTTACCGTACCTTGGGCTACACTGTCAAATGCACGACAAACCTGTAAAATATGCGATTCATGTTTAAAATCAACTATATTAACATGACACATTATAAAGACCAAAATGTGTTCCATGTAATTTAAACAGCATGCCCAAAACCTTGCATTTGTAAAAATTTCAAATTGAACAGATAGCCATTTTCCTGGTATTTTGATGACAAGATTATGTGGCGCCAACCCAGACAGAAAAGCACATTATGCCCATCACCATAAAATGATGACATTACTATAGCACTGTTTAAAATTGTGATAAAAATTGTGAGTGATAACGATGACTATACCATAAAACATTTTAATATGGTTAAATCCCTTATAACACATGTATCTATAATAATCTGATAGACTATACATGTATATCAGTGGCGTAGCTACGTGTACGCCAAGTACGCCCAGGCGTACTCTCAAATTTTAAAATAAAATTTACCTGATTAATTGTGATGAAAAATAAATATTTTACCAAGAGATAGAAATCGATAGAAGATCTATGAAGACTCGTGTTAATAGATAAAAAAGTTCTCGATTATTTCATTTTCTTTGTTTTGAATCAGTTAGCTACTGATAATTAGAGAATTTTATTTCGTTTCGGTTGAGTTGACATTGTAGTTGTGTATTCTTCAATGGCGGCCCCAGCAAGAGCTCCCGGCGTTGATCCCGTTGATCCTGTTATTCAGTGAGTTCCTATTCATTTTTTTTGCTTGGGCAAACTGATGTTTCAACTTGTCAAGTTAGAACGAAATTAATGGAGTTTATATATGTCTCACGTGTGATTTTCATTACCTGGCTTTTAGAATCACTTACAGATTGTTAAGATCCGAAATGGAATTGAGACGGTCGTGTAACTGTTCTTTTATTGTTAATCATCTTGTGAGCTAGATAAAAAAAAAAACACAGAAGAAAAAAAAAAATTCATGGAGAATGACCACAAAAGCTTAAAACAATGAGCCTCATACATACAGTTTTAGGTAGCCTAAAAAATAAAATCGCCTTGATAGACGGCTTCGATCGCCGATGCCCGATTATATAGAATCTGTCTATTTTGTTTCCCGAATATTATCTGTTAATACAGTTAATTCAATCCCTTTAAAAAGCTATGTCAAAATGATCAAACAATGCATATATTTCCTTCATTGAATTAAGAGTGTTTAGTGTGTCCCCTATCTTCTGAACACCCGGGATCTTCCTATTTTATGGAACCATCGTTTTGTTGATTTTGATAAAACCGGGAAATCATACAGGCGTACACTCGCAAAATGGGCTAGCTACGCCTCTGTATATGTCACTTGATTTTTAAATATTACTTGAATGTCATCTTTATAATAAAACAAGACAGTTGCATGATATTACAACTCACAATCTACAACAACTTACTTTTCTTAGGCGTATGACTTCAGCATAAGGTATCATTGAGAATATAGTCTCTAGAATCTCCCGAGGCATGCTAAGTAATGTCCATTCTTTAACTTGGCCATCACTTCCTTGTGAGTTCTCCCCATTGACACTACTGGAACTACAATTGATTGAGTTAGCTTGGTCTGAGCATATAGGAGCGTATTTCAGTCTTTTGGACAGCAACTGTCGACTACATGAGTCGCTATGCGATTCTGTGATTTGCCTCTTGGTCCCACAGGAAGATTCCATAGATTTTCCCTCAGTGCTGGCTTGATTGCGTACAGCAGGTGTTTTAGGCATCTTTAGATTTTTTCTCAGTTGCTAGTTTGTGGACCTGAAAATACAATAATGTTATTATTGTATTGTGTACAAATGGCTAGCCTATTTGTTAGGGCAAAGGGGTGTAACGTCGATGCCATTTTGGGGTAACTTCGACATGTGGGGTAACTTCGACACCTTTCAAATCTAGGGGGAAGCTATGTTTTTTTTCTCGCATGGATCGAGATCTCGCAAGATAAGGCTCAGCTGGAAAGTAACATTTTGGTAAAAAATTGCTAAACCTGCACATGTTATTTTCTGGTACAAAATTAAGTATGACTTGTGTGTATTTCCTTGCTTTTTTCAGGAAAGTATCATTACATCAATACATTGTCTAATTTTAGTAAACCTGGAAACAGGTCAATGGTAGATCCTGTGTTGTCTGGAAACTTTGAAAGAAAATTTGGAAAAATAGAAAGTGTGAAATACAGTGGGGAACATAAAGAATCACAAAAGCTATGGAAATTACATGCTGTCGCACGTGTAATAAATTCTTACCTCATTGTATTCAGTGCTCTATTTTCTCCGTCCTAGTAAGTCCAGATATAGTGGAATTCGTGTCCATAATGACAAATAAGAACTTAAAAATTTGAAGTGGAATTCACATGTTAATGCAGACTCTTCAAATGTTGAGGTGATTTTGGAGCCCGATTACGCCGCAATGTGGATTGGCTCCCAGAATGCAGTGTCAGCTTTCAAAATGCCGTTCCGCCATTTTGAAATCTGTCACGAGTAAATAAGGTTACCTGATGTTGCATTCTGGGAGTCAATCCTCCTTGGATCACAAACATGGCGATTCATGAAAACATTTGTTCGATTTGGTAGGGATTTATCCATCATTTGTTCATTTATTGTGCTACTTAAAGTGAATGGGAATTATTTTTCTACCACTTAGGAGAGTTTGAGACACAAAACTTAGAATTTAGCTCATTGTGACAAACTTTTGAGGGTTGAGATTTATTTTTGTCCCCCACTTTATCAGAAATTCCTGGAGTTCCCATTGATTATTTTTCCAGAAATCAAACATGGCAGAAAACGGAAATTCTACTTCTTATAAGTTAGTGTTGAAGTTACGCTGTCTCTTATATCGACTTTACCCCACATGTCGACGTTACACCACTTTGCCCTAATGCCCCCCCCCCTGTTTTGAATGTGAATAAATTCACAGTCAGAGAGAATGTTTCTGGCGAAATTCTGGGATTTCAAACACTTTGAGTTATTGATATAGTTCCAGGGCAGTTCGAAGAACTACGTATTAGGCTAGATGTCCGTGAATAAATTGTAAAACGCAAATCTTTGCATCTTTGAGATGAAACACTAATTTACCACTATATAACACAAGTTAGATACAATATGGACAAAATACTGTTCCATACCACATCTGATTATACATACCTTCGATTCTTTGACCATATAATTGAAGACATCAAATAAAATTCTGGAACTCAACTTTTTCCAATATTCCTCGAACCGGAAGTACATGCAACCTCGCAAAATAATACAAGTCTCGAGAAGTCTCGCTTATTCAAACTAAGATTCTGTATGAATAGCTGAGTTTTTCTTTAAAACGAACCAGTTCTAGGGTTTCTGTACTCATGATCTATAAACCACTAGTGTACTTATTATTGTTGTAGAGTTCTGATGCCCCAAAACAATACATCTCGTTAGGTATCGTTTTCAACAATAACCAATCAAATCAAAGGTCATGAGGTCATTGGGATGAAAATGAACATCTAAGAAATGAAAACATAAGCTCCAGATAAAATCAAATTTATCATCAAAATCGTGGATTAGCATCTGCACAACTACATCAAGATGGTGTTTGAATCGCTAGTCGTCGATTTGATGAACAAATACCTGGGTGATTTTATTGAGAATTTGGATAAATCACAGCTGAAGCTTGGCATTTGGGGAGGTGAGTTTTCTACAAAAATCATTAGCCTATCCAGGAATCAAATATGTTGCAGTGTTTCTATTAGCCACGTTATCTCTTGACATGTTCAACGTTGCGAATGTATAGTTTATGTCAATTCTTAATTAATGTTAGTCTATTGTAAATGTTGCTACTTGGTAAGAATGACACAGGTTGTTTTGTTTTCCACTCACCATGTTTGTAAACATTAGACTACAGTCAATGTCACATGAGTTTGACAGGGATTTGTCAACATTCCAATTTTCACTTTTTTACTAACTTCAATGGACATATGGTAGCAAGGTCATTTGTCATGAGCAATGATGATGCGATGTATTACACAACCTTCAACCAGCATCCTTTGGACGAGATGGAAGTTATTATAGACGGAATGTCTATTTTTTATATCCATCCTCACTGAGTAGCTTAAGTAATGGAGAATGACCCCCAGGATGACATCTCACTGTTGTGTTCAGAGGGCTCACAGTGGAGATCTACCATACTCTTGGAACCAGAATTGCCCAGAAAATGATTTTTATATAATTGTCTAGACTCCCAACCTTGTTATGATACTTGTTTTATCCTTGTCTGTTGTGGTTAAATTGGTTTGATAAATGATGATTTACTATTTTTTATAAGTCATGCTTTTTTGTGAATTCATAGGCATGTGACAAATAATTGGGTGTTTTTGCAATGTTGATTTTGAATCAGTTCATTAAAGTGTATTCAACTTCTACATGTATGTGCAAAACATAACTTTGTGTCAATAACCCAAACTATTTCATACATTCTTGGTGCTCTACTGTTACGTTTTTGTAGATTGACGATGATTTTGAAACTTTAATGGAAGTCACACTTAATTAATGTAGATGTAAAGATTTTAATACTTAAAAGAACATGCACATTTTATATGATGATATAACACAAGACTCAACTTTTTGCCAATTTAGAATTTTGATACACTCAGTAACACATAAAAAATGTCAAGAGGAATGTTGAAAAATATTTTTTTCTTAAGAAAGCGTCTTTTTTTGTTTTCATACATTGATATAAAAGTGCTTTGTTGAATATTATCCTTTGAAATGGCCTAATGTTAATAGTATGGGATTTTATGTATAGCATGTACCTTGGGCCAAACTCCTTACCGAAACCCAATCAAGAAATAGTCCCAATCTACATATTTATAGTTAAGATTTTAGAATTGGCATACTGTCTTTTAAGTTTTGTTAATGTATAAATGGTAGGAGACAATGAGAGGTGTTGCAGCTATCACATTTAAAAGCAAATTAAACACTCTAATCTAATTGTTCTTGTAATGACACTAATAAAGGAATTTGAAATTGCATAGATGATCTCAATTTGTACCAGTATTTCTGAGAACTAATTGTCATTCAAATTAAAAAGAAAATGAATATCCTAGTTAGTAGGCAACCCCCCTAAAAAACAACCAGAAATAGTGTTCCTGTTGAAACAGAAAACCATTAAACCTGCACATCGCTCCAAAACGCAATATGTTGACATATGTTGTTTTTACATTTTTAAGCTCTAATATAAAGTTTATGTAAATAAAAATTGTTTTTTCTGCGTAATATCAAAGAACAATCATTTAGTTAAAAAAAATAAAAAGGCGAATGCGGGATTCGAACCCGGGTCTCCCGCGTGCTAAACGAGAATTCTACCGCTACACCACCGCTAATTATGAAGGGTGGAGGTAATTAAAAGCTACTTATTTTGAATGCTATGATTCGGAAGTGACGTCACGTTCTTCATTTAGAAACCTTTCCAAAATCATATCGTCGGCGCCGATCGAAGCAATTCAATGAAAAATCTTTGAAATGACACATTTATCGTAAGTATTTCTACACAAGATTTGCCCCATTTGTTCATCATTCTATAATCTTTCATTAAGCTCAAAATGATAAAGTTCACCCCCGAAACAACCCAAGATTGTGTTTTGGAGCGATGTGCAGGTTTAACTTTTAGTTGACTTTAGTCTAAACTATGCTGGATGCCCCATGAGTAAATTTATATAGACAAAAACAATTCTCCCGGCAGCATATTAAGTGTGAGCTCACAATGATTGTATGGAATAAATATTTTATTCTTTCGATTGTTCATATACAAATCATTCATGATTATAATTGCATAGGGATTCATATGACATTGTCTTCCATATAAGTGCTAGAATTATCTTGAATGAAATTGTAGATCTCCTATTTTTGAGGCTCACATGGGTGTGCTATAACTACATTTATTCATATTTTTGAATGATCTCCCAGCATTGTACCCTGCACTCATTTGACATAAACTTGCACCCAATTGAAAAACCTGTTAGCACCAGAATTAAAAATGAGAAGAATTATGAAAATTGTATATTTTTCAGCAAACTTTGAACAGAACTGAAAAAATGAGAATTTTGCATCTACATGTACATGATAAATTTCTGAGAATAGTTGCAGTTTATTGTTGTTTTAGTGTCTGAAAACTGTATAGTTAATACACATATTCTAGGTTATACACGCAGAGAGGTTATAATCAATATAAAACAGACATGATGATTTGTATAATGGCTGAACTAAATTGATTGGTGGCAAAGGGAACGATCTGAGCAAAGTATATCGTTTATTGAGTTTTTTCATATTTTTACAACAAACATGTCTTTCTAGATTAATTTTCAACATGCTGTACTGTACTGTACAATCATATACAGTTCTACTTATTACAGCAAAATCCATGGATGTGGAAGGCATTCTTAGATTGTTCTATGGAGTAAAAATAGAGGTGATCCTTCATATATGAGCTGCTGACTTTGTGGATAACTTCTTTAGGATCGATCATTAATGTCAGTTTGTAAAAAATGTCCCCTAAATAATATTTTCCTAGCTTTTTATAATAATACCTATCAGCTATCTGTCCCAAACTGTGACAAATAAGCTAAATGAGTCCCCATATAAACATATCAAAGCAAGGACAATAAATGCGAATGCAAAAATCACTATTAAGCTTCATCCTATATATGGTGTACTACAGGCCTGTCAACTGTCCCGCAATTTGCGGATTTGTCACGCATTTGCTGAAGAATTCACGCCAGTTATTTTTGCGTGACAGAAAATGTCACGCAAATACGCATTTTACCTTGTAATTGTCAAGCAAAAATATTTCTGTAGAAAAATTTATAAAAAAGATCGTCTACACAGCAAAAATAAGAACGCCGGAAAAAAAAAACGCACGCATTTCGTTCGGACTTTTCACGCGAATTACGTATATGTCACGCAATCCGTTCGAACTTTTTCGTACCTACCCCCCCCCCCCCCCCCCCCAAAATTTGGCAAGATGTAATAAAGTTTAAACCAAGGTGTTCAAAATTTGGATCAAGGTGTTCAGATTTGGACCAAGGTGTCCACATTTTGAGGGGAGGTGTTCAACATTTCCAAGTCACTCATGTTAGGTGTTCCCAAGTTGACAGGCCTGTGTACTAGTCTCTTGATTTTTGTCCTTATATGAACTTTTTCCGATCTTCTAACATTTAGGGAAACTAATATTCGGATAAGAGAAAATGGCTGGTTATTCAGGGTAATATTGATCATTTGCACTGTCTTATTGTATCAAAGGATCCTTAATGACGTGATTTGCATATCAAGTCAAACTTGGAAAATCAATGGAGTAACATGCGCCCCAGATTTCATTGCCTTTAGTGAGGTGATATCGCTTAATTGATAGCAAATCATGGCTCCAATGCAGTCGTAGTTTAATTGATTCCTTATTGTTTCCATTCCTAACATGCATTTACTAACAAACACATATCCTTTTTACATACGCTGATTGTCAACTGCCAGATTCAGAGCCTGTGCCAACCCATTACTTTTACATCTAAATTTGTGAATAATATGGGGTCCAATGTCAACATACTAGGTTTTTAAGATGAGAAATTGAAATACACCAGCGAAGATATACTTTAATGATATTAGATTGTTCATTTTGTTGATGTTATAATTTAAAAGTGTATTAAATATTTCAGCCGCCAGTATGAAATCATAATGCCAGGCTTTGTTTCGTAATTGTTTTGCTGAAATAGATTAATATCTTCTTTTGCTTCAATGATGCCCTATGCCAAATGGTTCATTGACCAAACAGTAATTTCCCATTTCAATTCATAGTCTGTAACCATGGCAGATGGACAAAATATTTTCAATGTTAATTAACATAAAAGGCTATTGTCTTAGTAACAGTGGAGGTTGTTTATTGCATGAGGTCATGATTAAAGGCAAATGTTATAGCTTAGTGCATCTGAACTAAGAAAAACAAATGAATGATGTTATTTTTATGTCATTTGGGATAAAGTAATAACAAGGATCTGTGATGTTTCCGACAAATGAACATAATTGCAGATTAGAAAGCTTATAAAAGATTAAAATTGCCGTCATTATCTTCTGTTACCCCTTAGATTATCCAAGTGTATGCTCAGTTAGCATCAATTTATATTCACATATTATCTGTTTTTCATAGAAAATCATCAGTATTTAGATAACTGTTGTTTTATCTACTTCTCTCACTTTGTATAGTCTCTTTGGTCTTCTATGGCTTGTTCTGATGCTATGTGGTCTTGCATAAATGTTGTTTCATCCCCTAGTCTCTTTGTGATAATAGGCTTGTTCTGAAAACTGATAAATTGAATTATTTTGCCATGTTTGATCAGAGTTATTGATACCCCTTCTGTTGTTTCTAGCTTATTAGGCTCATTTTTGTGTAATCTCTACTCTAT